TATATATATATATATATATATATATATATATATATATATATGCTTAATCAGATGAGAACTGATTAGTTTGTGGTAACTGTGAGATCCAATCTCAACCACAAATCAACAGATAAATTAAGAAATTAATAATTATGGTAATTTGAGTTAAAATTATAATTAGAGGGCATTTTAGGTATTTTTAAAAAACTCCTCTCTCCTCTCTTCTCTCCTCTCTCCGACCTCCAATCTCCAGCCTCCGGTGAACAAAAATCCGGCAGGTACCAAGTAATCACAAAGATACACAATGTGATACCGATTGTGATATACAGCGGTACTCAAATGGTATCACAGTATATCACAATGGGTATCACATTGTGTATCTTTGTGATTACTTGGTACCTGCCGGATTTTTGTTCACCGGATACTAGAGATTGGAGGTCGGAGAGATGAGAGAGGAGAGAGAAGTTTTTTTTAAAATACCTAAAATGCCCTCTAATTATAATTTTAACTCAAACTACTATAATTATTAATTTTCTAATTTATCCGTTGATTTGTGGTTGAGATTGGATCTCACAGTTACCACAAACTAATCAGTTCTCTCTTGAATGAACCCACATATATATAGGGGTGCTGGTTTATTTTGAAAACTCATTTTTCTTAAACATGAGAACCAATCTCGATCATTGATTAATCGTTGGTTAAAACATAAAAAGATTAATTGAGAAGTGATTATGATAAAAACGAAAGTTATGATTTACCCCCACCATATTTCAGTTTTTATTTTCTTTTTAATTAAATTTTTTACCTCCTTAATTTATGGACTAAATTATCTTAAAAATAATTCATATTTTAATTACAAATTACATTAAAAACCGACCATTCATTTATTGGATTTAACATCCATCTCAATATAGTTTTTTTTTTGTCAACTAGTATATTTGTGTAATTTTTGCACTAAATCATTAATATTCATACATTTCTATGATATTTAGCATGAATATACAACTTAGTAAAACATTTATCATGAATGTATTTTCACGTGTATTCAATAAATCTTCAGTACTCATACATCACTATGACATTTATCATTAACGTACATTTTATTATAACATTCATTATGAATATATACACATATATATATATATATATATGTATGTGTGTGTGTGTTTTCACATGTATATAATAACTTTTTTATATTAATACACCATACTATTCATCATACACATACATAATACTCATCAGGAATATTTTTATATATTTATGTGTAGAAAATAATTTTTCAACATTCATACATCAATATGATATTCGTCACGAGCATACGATTTTACTATAACATTCATCATTAATATACATATTATTCATCGTGGATGTTTATATATTTTCATTTATATACAACAGTCATATAACAGTTATTCAACATTTATACATCAGTATGATATTCATCATGAATATACATTTTCACTATAATATTTATCATGGATATACATATTATTCATCATGAATATTTATGTATGATCACATGTGTACTATCTCTCTATATTTATATTAATATGATATTTATCGTAAATATTAATTTCACCATAATATTTATCATGTATAAACATATTGTTTATCATGAATATATTACAGTTTCAACTATACATATTTTAGTTTATTTATTTATTTATTGGGTTCTCGATTGATATGGATGAGTTTCCGATTCATCTCGATAAAAGTTAAAAGTGGTAGGTTATAGTTTTACACAAACAAACACATAATAAATTAATCAATAGGTTTTCAATCGATTTCGACGATAGTCAATGGATGGGTACTTGATTGGTCTCGACTGATCCCAATCGGTTGTCGATCAATCCCGATATATTCTTGACTGGTCTCGATGGGTTCCCAATCCGTTTCGATAAAAGCTGAAAGTGGTAGCCTATAGTTTTACAAACGCAAACAAATAATAAATCAATCAATAGGTTCTCAAAAAAAAAAATGAATGTGGTGGATTATGATTTAACACACATAAACACATACCAAGTTAATGAATGGATTATTGACCTTTCTCGGTCGGTCTTGATGGGTTTCCAATTGGTCTCAATGGGTGTTAGGTTACGCTAATGAAGAACGTAGTGTTTTACGATGTTGAAGAAAATGTTGAATAAGGAGATGTCGAGTTACATACTTACGGTGTCGAGCTATTTTATACACTTGAATGTACATAAATATTCATAATGAATATAACGTATATATATACCATTTTATGTAAAAAGGTTTAAAAGGGGAAAAAACTATATCGAAATGAATGTCATATTGAATAACATGAAATTCTCGTTTTTTTTGAGGTAATTTGTTTGATTAAAATATTAGTAATTTTTAAGATAATTTATTTTAAACTCTAAAGGGATAAATATTCTTAATTAAAAAAAATATAAAATCAAATAAGGTAGGCATGGGCTGATATTAACTTTCTTTTTTTACCCATAATCACCTTAATTGATAATTTAAATTAACAACTCTATTTAATGTAAGTTGTTGGATCAAATAAGATGAAAGAGTAAGATCAACATTCATGTTTACAAAAAAACAATGAGTTTGCAAATTAACTTCCCCCTCTCCCTCTCTCTCTCTCCACTAAACTCCCCCCCCACCCCCACATATATATATATATATATATATATATATATGAGACTTATAAGTTTACATTTGAAACTTTACCGTAAAATATTGTGAATATTTGAAACTTTTTTTACCTTAATTATATTTTGTTGTGAAGTTTCAAGTATAAAAATATGTTTAAAAAAACAAACTAACTTAAATATGTTAGCATCATCGCCCATAACTGAAAATGTAGAAAAGGAGATAGCAACACAACAAATAAATATATAAAAAGTATATGTTGGAAAAAAGGATCATATTAATTAATATATTATTACTAATTATAGTAACTAAAATCATTATTACTCCCAAAGTTATCATATTGCCATGCTTATGACAATAAACTAAGTTATTAATTTTGGTTTTGAAGGAACAACATATATATATATAATATTAATAATTACAAGATTAAACTTTTACTTTTGGACATTCAAACTTGTTTTGTTTGGATGTTATTAAGGGGCCGTTTACCAAACACTTACTTGGGTAAATGAACATCAAGTCATATTACTTTACCGATGAATATGGTAAGGATCAAGAATCTTAAAGCGAGACAATGACCAAAGGTGTTACCAGGTAAGTGAGGATGACGACTCTTACCATGGTAAGAGCTTATAGGTAAATTGTTGCATACAATACTGTTTTGATGGACTAAAATCTTATATGGTACATAAATCATAGTGTCAAATTTTGGCGGCAAGCACTTACCGGGTAAATATTTGGTAAATGGGTCCTAAATATAATTAATGTAGCCTGATCAATAATTAATTAAGCTTGTTATTTTAATTTATTTACAAGCAAGTATGGGAAAGGAATTAACAAGCCTTAATTTCAGTTACATATAACATTAACAATTCTGTATTTAAATATATAGAGTAGCCATCCCATAGTTTTAATATTCTGTGTTAAAAGAAAAAACTAATAACACTTCAAGAAGCTAACCTAGTTAAGATATATAGTCGTCATACATTTAGTGGATCATCTCATAACTAACTAACTAACTAGTAAAAGTTTTACTAAATAAAAATAGTGATCAATCGCATATATACGGACCCACTCCTAAGTCGTGACGGTGGAATCCACTTAATTTTGAAACAACTTTTAGGTGACCATTCGCATGTGGTAAATTAACTACTTCATTTTATATCAATTCCTTTCCACCTAAACAATTTTTGTTTAATCATCATGTGCACAATATATATGAGTTTAGAAAGAAAAATGATTTCATTTCACTTCATGAATTATATATGCTTGATGTGAGAATTGATTTAATACATTTTTATTAATGTTAATCGATCTTCAATTATGACTTATTACTGTAACTTTCATTCTCAACTAACAGAAACATAATTCTTCATTTCTAATATATATAAGTATAATAAAAATGAAATTTATGTATATAATATATATTTTGTTGTAAATTAGTAAGACACATAAAAGAAGATGTATGTGGGTGTCATAAAAAAAAACTATTTAATTAGACACTCATGAATAATAAAAATGTTTGCTTTAAAACTTATGAAAGTGAAATGGATTCAACATTGATTTATTGATGCAAATGATGAAGTTAGTTTTTACTTAATATAATTAATCATTAAAATATGACATAAATAAAATGAAGGGATAGAATTGAAGTAGATAATTAGTCATAAAATAATACCAAACTCTAATTTTATACAAGTGCAGTGGAAATTATATTAAAGCCAATCCATATACAACATTCACAGAAATGAAATTTGTATCAATTTATAATTGTATTTCTTTATAAGTAAGTTAATGTTGATTATATATGTCTTTTTAAAAGCTAAATTAAATTTTGGTCTTGGCTTCTTCATTTGTTTACTACTTTTAATTAATATTCATAATAATTTTGTTTATAATAAATTAACAAAGAAAACATTATTTTACATTGCTTGGCTCGGGAAATATATAATTATAAAGTGAAACAAGGAAAAGGTTTAATGAATTGAATGACTCTACTTACTAATCTTTCAAAAATAAAATAAATATAAATATAAATATAAAAATAAATAAATGCAGGCACCTTTTATAATCCCTTTCGTGTTCCCATTTTCTTCTCCTCCCATTTCCATTTCCATTTCCATTTCCATTTCATTCCCATTCCCATTCCCATTCCCATTCAAATCAAAATGAAAAACTATGCAACCCTCTTTCCTTCCTCTTCCACCTCCACTTCCACTTCTGTTTCTTCACATCTATCGTTGAGTTTGATGAACGATTACTCTCCTCTTGCCTACACCAATGATAGCTACGATCACGACCAGCTTCCTTTATTCGAAAAAAGCCTTAATTGCAGCTCAGATCAGGAAATCGTGGTGGTCTCTCCCACTACCAGTAGTGGTTTAGGTAATTCAACATCTGGATCAGGGAAGATTAGTGTTAAGAAAGGCGAGAAGAAGATCAAAAAACCTAAGTGTGCATTTCAAACCAGGAGCCAAGTCGATATTCTTGATGATGGTTATAGATGGAGGAAATACGGTCAAAAGGCCGTCAAGAACAACAAGTTCCCCAGGTTCGGATTTTCCTTAATTAATTAGTTATATATAATACCCTTTTTTTTAATGAACGAAAACATCACAAACCATCTAAATCAAATTTGATACATAAATTCAAGATTCAAATACCGTGAATGAAATTCAAGTTTTATTATTTACCAATTTATAATGAATTGAGTAAAATTTTTGTATAATTAATTAACATTATATATATCTTATCTTATCATGCACATGTAGGCATGTGTTATAATCTATTTACTGGTTTTGAAAATGAAACATGAATTCCATGATATTCAAAATGGTATATTTTTTCTAAGCCCATACATACAAACTATAAAACGAGATATATACTCCATCTTACAGTTATTGTTCATCGTGATGACCCAAAAACCTTTCAYCAATATATATATATATGTATCATGGGTTTTGTTTGGGTAAATTAAAGAAATGATATATAGTTTTTGAAAGTAAAGGTAACATGATCAGTGAATCATGACATTTGATACAGGAGCTATTACCGGTGTACACACCATGGATGCAACGTGAAGAAACAAGTCCAAAGGCTGTCAAAAGACGAAGGGGTGGTCGTTACAACCTACGAGGGAACACATTCACATCCAATCGAGAAATCTACAGATAACTTTGAGCATATTTTGACCCAAATGCAAATTTATTCTTCTTGCTAGCTAAAAATAAAAAAATAAATAAACGCCAAGCTGTTGTCTACTAATTTAGATGATTAGTTCCGATGCTTCAACTGTTATAATGCATTAGATCCAAATTGCATACATATTCATTCATGTATTAGTTTAATGACCTGAAATATGAGTTTAGTTTAATTGATTCAAAAAAACATGATCCATGTTTTTAATTATATTATGTGTAAATTTTAATGATGTTGTATACTTGGTAATATATATGTGTGTGTGTGTGTGTATATATATATATATATATATGTTTTGTTGATGGTATTATAATATCAAAAACGGCTAAAATACAAAATCGCATCCGTTAAAAGCAAGCAGAAGGTGTAGACGAAGACCTATAATTCTAAATACATATTATTAACCTTGTATATATAACTATACATACTGGACATTACATTGCATGTGTTTAACTTGCATTTGTAAAATAAAAATTGACAAAACCTTTGAACTTTCTGTACGTTTCTCATGTTTTGCTTTCAGATGAATAGTTAAAATATTATTTGGCCTTCACCTAATTAATACAGGTACGTTTGTCTAACTGTCTTAGTTTCTATGATTTTAATCATTTTATATCTCATAGGGAAGATAAAAAAAATAGATTTGTAGGCTCGCTCTTTATAACTTAAAGTTGCATGTTACTAATAACTTATACCATGGTTTTAATTTGATTTTGAGGTTATTGCATCATATATGCTAGCTAATGTTTGTGCTTGGGGCATCATATATTGCTCTGCTATCAATAAAAATAAAATAAATTTGGAAAAAATAATATATAGACATGGTAGATAGAAGATATATCTAAATCTAATTAAGGCTTCGCAGCCTCTTGCTCTTGGGGTTGGGGGCTAAAGCCTAAAGGTAGAGAGGAGGCCCCGTCTTGTATTCATTGATGTAAATGTAGCCCTATTTTATGGTTGAACCTCTACCAATCGTTACATTATATTGGAATGGAATGCAACCTGCTAAAAAAACTTAACCTCATTAAACAAAGGAATTAATTAGAATGGTTATTTTTATTGGTTGCTTTTACTTCTTAATCATTTTTTTTTAAGATTTACTACAATAATTCTAGGTCCTTAATTTCAATTTCTTTTTTTGATCTGAGTGAAAAATGTGATTTTTTTTTTTACGTTTAAAGGTGTTGTAATAAGTTTATATGATGTTTTTTGACGTCGTAATAAGTTTTTTAGGACACTTTTAATATAAAACGTCTCATTAGCAACTTTATAGGACACTACTTGAAAATTTGTCCTATAAAAACAAGTGTCTTATAAAAAATTAAGTTTATAGGACACTTTCTCCCATAAAGTTGCTAATGCGACGCTTTGTATCAAAAATGTCCTAAAAAACTCACTTCTTACATTCGTAATATATGAATCGACCAGATGTTGACATTAAAAGGGATGCAAATTTTGGTGTTATATTTACCAACATTAAAATGTAAGATTTGGTATTAAGTGTAGTTATTGGTTTAAATTTTGAAGTAAAAAAATGAATATTGGTGTTGGATCGAAAATGCTCTAATGTGTTGATGGGTTGGAAAAAAAAACAGTAAGCAGTACATAATGTTAAAGAATTAAACCATTGACGTTTTAGAGCATCTCCAAAATTTCTCTAATCAAAAATTAAAATCTCTAAAAAGTTACATTCAACTTTTCTAATTTATCCTTTTTTAAGATTACAACATCATTTATATTATTAAAGCATTAAATGCGATTAATAAAATATTAGTTCTTTTTTATAAATATCTGACTACAAATATTATAATTGTCACAAAAACTACAAGACAATCATTTATTGAGAATTCTCTAATCCTATTTCTCCATTTTAGATAATGGAATAAAAAAGTAGCCAAAATATCTATTTCAGAAAATCTTCTACCCTTTTTTATAATTTCTTTAAACCATATTTAATATATAAATAGGAAATTTGATGGGTAGGCGAAGACATTTTGCATGATTTTGAAAGCTCGATTCTAAACACATGTCAAGAAGCAAGATGCACATATATAATCCGAAAGACCGATCTAATCCAACTCAGAAAAACCTAATCAATATAATTCATAATCTAATTGATATAAAACATTTGAGTCGCAATTATTGTTGAGTTTGAGTAAAAAAAACAACCAACTTGTATAAACTATTTATCTCCAAACCACATCCACCGTTAGGCCTTTGCCTCTCTAATAACCTCACTCCATGTCCAAAATCTTCCTGAATTCTTAACTTATGGACATCTTGTTATTCTCAACCATATTGTGGTGCATGCAAAGTTAACATCATAGAGAGTTGTAATGAATTTAGATATTGTAGATTTAAATCTTCTAGGATACTTGAAAATTCATTAGATGTAGGTATTAACAATTCCTAGCCTTAAGATTCTTTTCTAGGTTTTGATCAGATACTGTTGCTAGAATTGGTTGCTTTCCTTCTAAAACGGACAGTGAGATAACCCATACAGGGTACCTTTAATGATGCGGCCACTCTGTCTATCAGAGGAGATCTGTATTTAAGATAAGGATTGAGATACATAAACATAGTTTGGTTATCTGATGGTTAACTTTTAGACATCTTGTTTTACCTAGTGTATATTGGTAGGAAGTTTCTTTAAATTGGTACACCGCAATTCATCTACTGTTTTTTTGCGGATCGTGATCTTTCAACGAGCTTACTTATTACTCACTTATGCAAGGAGGTTTGAACTAAAGGTTTATGATTTTGTAACACAATCTTCCCACGCATTATGAAACGGGTTTTATGAAGTTTGATTTTTTTTAATTAAAGAATTGGGTAGTTTTGAGTTTTGAGTGTTGAGTTTCATTTTTGATCTACTGTGAACTTTTTATAAACCACATAGGTTTCTTCCTTACAAAAGTGATGGTTTTGGAAAGTTGTGTCTTTGACTCTCTGGCTTGAAGGTCATTCCTAATCCTTACTTTGTTAGCAACAAAAGACACAGGTTCAATATTATCTAGCATCAGTGCTGTTACCCACCCTCTAAATGGACAATGACATCGTAGTGTATAATATTATATTCGTTTTAAGTAACAAGTTAGTGCGTGGTGGATTTTGTAAGAATCAGGTAGGTTGTGTGCATAAAATATACTAATGGTCTATCTCTCTCTCTCTGATGTGCATCCCAAAGCCCAAAGCAACGAACTAGCCTAATAACTTCGAATCCAACTTAAAACCATGGTGGAAGTTATTAGTAKCCCACTACTTGGGACTTATAAGGAGCTAACAATTCTCACTTTCTATCCATGTGGGACGAGTTGTTACAAACTCCCCCACTTAAACTTCTGACGTCCTCGTCAGGCTTATCCAGAATCTTCCTCCTTGTCATCGGCAATGTGGGATTTGCCTAAGATGGTACAAACACCCCCTCTCGAGGACTCATCATACCCGATGAGGTTTTCCCCACCATCCCGATGGTACAAGGATCGGCTCTGATACCATTTGTAACACCCCAAAGCCCAAAGCAACGAACTAGCCCGATAACTTCGAATCCAACTTAAAACCATGGTGGAAGTTATTAGTAGCACACTACTTGGGACTTATAAGGAGCTAACAATTCTCACTTTCTATCCATGTGAGATGAGTTGTTACATTACGCAACCATTTACATTTGTACAACCAATACAACTCAATCTCAACCATTCATTTAACTTGATGAATATGTGATTTCATAAAAGTTTTGATTGTTTTCTAATATAAAGTAGTGATCATAATTAATAAACTCTAGTCATCTTTCATAAATATTCAAATGAGCTTATCAAATATTTTTATTTTACTTTTAATCATTTACTTGTAGAATTCTTTAATTTGGTATCGCTGGAAACGTAGAATTCAACTTTCTTCAATCAAGGATTGTGATTGGATTGGTTAGCTTAACAAACTCTTGATTTAGGCACAAACTGCTGCAAATGTTATTGTAATGTACCAATACTCACCCAATGATCCATATGGATACAAAGGTTTTAATGGAGTTTCATGCTTCGAAAACATATTTCATGCTTCAATCACTCATACGATTTAAAAAACATATTTTATATCCACATGGTTTAAAAAATATGTTTGATATCGCAATCATCTACACGAGAACCCATTTTTGGAAATACATTCCTTCCCATGGCCATGGTAATGGTGATCCTACCGAAGTTTTTAGCATCAAACATAACCAGTGAACTACATATTTATTCCAAAACATGGATGCTTCAAGAAATATTTCTTATAAATTATTTTATTTTTAACTTTATTCAAACATACATTTTGCATTTTAATTTTCTAATTAGAATTTGGAAAGACTATAAGCCACTAAAACAACAAAGGTTATGGATTTAAAGTAGCACCATCCACCAATTATTTTTCAAAATGTCTGATGAATCAACCATATTAATCTTAAATTTCTATCATGATTCGATTCGCAATTTAGAACCATACAATTTTTAGCACTAAATATGACAAACGTGAAAAATGACTGCCTTTCAATTCCTCGACTTCAAAATCAAGATGTTCCGTGCAGCATCACATACTAGTACATAGGTAATAAGAATATAGAATCAAAAAGCCAAAAAAGAGGAGTATTGGTGGTAGGAACCAATGCTGGTGTTGGACAGTGACAAAGATACGTTAGATGTATGAATTGGAAAAAATAATATGGTTTAGTTTAGTTTATTTTACATTAATATTTTTGTAACCGGTTACAAGTAGTTTTTTTTTGAATTAAAATGTCAATTCATAATTAATTGATGGTTTTTTTAGGCAGAAAAAAGTTTAAGGGACATAATAATTAAAATCAAGAAACTTGAATACTTTAATTAATATGAAAAAGTGTATTCTATATTTGGAATTTTTGTTAACCCAAATGATGGGCTGTAGGCCTGTAGCTTCAGAGCCCAATCCATAAAATTTGGTGGGAACCGAAACTATTTCCCGCCATTCTCTCTGTTTTTCTCAGTGAAATCTATGTACATTTTCTTCAGTTCCTAGTAATCCTTGCTGTTTTTAGACGATTCAGAGCACCGAACCATACGCTAATTGCAATGGAAGTCGTCAGATCACAAAAGAAGCCTTCATCAGCAGCTGCATCTTCTGATGTTGTTTCTAACATCCCTCTTTACCGTTCACCTCCCACTCTCGAAGTCAGGCTCGAAGATTTCGAGCGATTCGCTGTTGATCGTCTCCTAGGTTCACTACTTGTCTCTTTTCTTTGCAACCAATTGTTGAATTTTGCCTCTTTGTTCGATACTCATGAATCACGTCCCTTCATCATTTATCACAACACTTAATGCTATGCAAATATTTAGTTGCCAGATTTGGGAATGTTAGTACAGTCATTTCTTAGAGGTTGTTTTTGACATTAGGCTTTTATGTTGTCAGACAAACTATCTGTCCGTATTTCTAGGGTTAGGATTCTAAATTTCGAGGTTAAGGGTCTCGCCGTTTCCAATTTATTGCACTAAACAACTACTGTCTGATTCATTCATATCAACCAAGTGCCAACTACTAACTTTACAACTTACACCTTTTTGAAGGAAGAGTTTCAACTCTTATCCATGTTCCATAAAAACAAATTGTGTAAAGTTTGATTGTCACCTTTCAGTCTTATATAAAGAAACGAGCGAGAAACGTTGCAGATCTAAGACTCACAAGGTGGCATGACTTTCCTAATTTTCCATCATTTTGTAGTTTTGATTACTACCATCATGCCATCAATTGCTAATCATTAGCCAACTTAGGGTTATGTTTGGAAACATCAAACTGTTCTTAGAAGTTGACGATGTGGGATTATATATCTAAATATGGAGTGAAGGGGGTTATTGGTTTGATAATTTTTGGTGAAATTGTATGTCAGTTTTCGGAATTTGCATGATGCATACATTAGCATTCTGGCACCCTGCGTATGTTTCATTGTAACACTGCTTTACAATCTTTTAGTTTTAACCCATGATGATTGAAGTGTATTGTTCACATTTCCTACATGCAGTTCTCAGAGGGATTTCTGATGGATTAGCTAGAGGAAAGAAACCTGATGAAATGGAGAAATTGGTTAGTGGTAGTTTTTTATGCTGCTATGTTTCTTACTTTGCAGGGGGGTGTTAATTCTTTTTTGGACCATGTAGGTAAGTGATCTATGGAAGGCTAATATGAGACATCCACAGGCATCAGAGGTTATCAATAAGGATATCATATCCCATTTTGTTTTGCGTCTTGTGTATTGTCGGACGTAAGCTTTTGATCTCTTCCTCTGTTCATTTATTTTGTGCCTTCATGCCTCGTGTAGATTTGAACTACTTATATTATCTCTTTCTTGTGACATTTTAGAGAGGAACTGAGGAAATGGTTTCTCTCGATGGAAACTACTCTTTTTCGCTACCGGTTTCGGCTGGAAAATTCTGATGTCCATGTATGATCAATCATATGCTTTCTGTATGAACAATCATATGCTTTCTGTTGATTCTTATTGATGATTGGGATTTGCCACAGAGGGTGTTGATGACAGAGCTTGGCATCCCTTACAAAGTTGTCACCAATGCTGAATTTGAGGTATTTATGGGCTATATACCTAGTAGTTAATTCTACTTGTTTAATATATAATGCTGCCTCCAAGATTAGAACTTGTGAACCTCTTTGCTTCATGCTTTTTCAGTTTAAAACTTCAGATACCGGTTCTCTATTTTCATGAAGCAATCATTCGTCTCTCTCTATTTTCAGGGGTTGAAGGATAAATTGACCCAAGTTGCACGCTCAGTCAGCCAACCATTGCCCACTTGTATGTCGTAAATGCATTACCATCAATGAGCTATGTCGTTGTTTTTGTTATTCGAGTGTTATAACTTTATTTATTCTCTTTGTGTTTTTCTCTAATGCAGCTGATGGAACATATTATAAGGTAAATTGCCTAATTAAATCTCCTGCACCCCATTTTTGGCATCATGATTTTTCTTTTTTATTTGTTTATACGACCCTTTGCACATTTTCAAGAGCACCTAGAGAAATATAACAGAACTTCTATTTTTGGTTATGGTGCATGAAAGAATATGTTCTGACACCATGAAGGATGCATTTTGAGCTGTATATAAGCTAGAAGGCAAATCCTGTTGACTCTTTTACCATAAAAATTTACACAATCAGCTATTAACTCTTCATTCACATTCTCTCTCTATGTCTTCGTTATCTCCAAGTTTAAATGTATTCAGTTCAAATAGAATGGTATAACAGAGATTTTATTTGAGCTTCCTACCCTCCAAATTTTAGGTTATTTTCATTTGGACCCTTAAACCAGGCACCGATTTTCATTGAAAATCTTGGCGAGGCGTTCAGTTGGGTTTGTTCAATTTGTAGATATAAGTTCAGCTATTTTGTTTGTAAAATATGATTCAACTTTGAGATTGTATGTGTTGATGGGTTATTTGTACTTAGAGTTCACTCAAGTAAAAGTTTTATCTTTTCTGGGGCCATGTTTAAAGTTTGGGGCTCAGTTCTTATTATATGTGCAGTGTGTAGAGACCTCAGATGGAGGTCTTACTATTGATTACTTGAACAATATATGTCAAGTATTTGCTACTCTGAGTTACCCATTTTCATGTTAGTTTCATTTCAATTGATGTAGGTTCCATTTGAAGAAGTTCCAGAACTTGTGGCTAGTCGCAGAGTGTTCATCCAGAAAGGATATGCATATGTTGCTTTGAATCAGGTGCATACAGTGTTCCTACTCATTATTTTGTTACACTAATGTAGCACAAGAGATTATTTTTTAATTAATGTTTCTGATCGTATTCAATTAGGTTGTCTCATTCGTTATTCCCCACTTTCGTAGCCATCTTTCAAAAGCTCTCGTTCTCACAAACAGGTTGGTCTGGAACTTTTCTGTAATTGGATGTTCTCTATAATTTCTACTGCATGGTTACTGTATCAATAGGATTTACCAACTGCTCAGCTTCTACTTCCCAGAAAATGGACATCCATGATTAGGGAACAAGAGAAGGACCGTTTAACCCCTGTGAGTTCTAAATTCACTTGAATTAGTTTTCATTTTGCATGAAGAAATAGCTAATATTTTTTTCAAGTGTTGTGCCTGATTTTGATTTGGAATTACTTAGATAGTTGAAGCCCTATCTACCAGTTATCTGGGTCCTGACTATTCTCAGGTATGTTGCCTAATTTTATTCTATGTTACCTTTTGAATTATAGAGTTATGATTTGATCTTTGATTTTTATCATTACTATCTTGAGATAGGCCAAAGAATTGGGTGAAATGTCTTTAAAAGACATTGATCAAGTAGCAAGAACTTCATTTCCTTTGTGCATGCGGCACCTCTTCGACACAGTAAGTGATTTGATGATAGAGAGTTGTTTTATGTTGCATGCTCATCTGTCACAGTTAATCTCTTGTGGATTTCTCTAACTTCTCCACTCTCCACGGAGCCTGGAAGGAGGGCTAGTCAGTATGCTATTTAGAACTTTCTTATGTTTTGTATTTCTTTCACAAAATTGATCAGTTAAGAGAGGATCATCATATGAAGCATGGGGGGAGGATGCAGCTTGGCTTATTCCTCAAGGTACTGACTCTCTATGTTGTAACGGATTCTGATTTGGGAAATTGGCACTCACATCTGTGTCTATTGTTTTCCAGTCCAGTCCATCCAACACAATACTCTTGAGCATACATCTGCATAATAAATTTTCAACTGGATTGAATTGTGCTGTATTCCTTGGTTATATTGAGCTTGACTATACTAAGACGTCTATGTAGTAGCAACTCATTATCTACTAGAAATTAATTGTTTGAGCTTTTTTCTTGCTGAACTTGATTGTAATTGTAACCTTTCAATATTCAGGGTGCTGGGTTGAAGTTGGATGATGCACTTGCATTTTGGAAGGCAGAGTTCTCCCAGAAGGTAAGCAGGGTGCAGATTGAGTTGGTAAATTTCAACTATCACATACAGCTACCACTGTGATCCATTGACTTGGTTTCAAGCTGAGGTCCACAATGCTACATATACTTGTCTTATGTCATGGGAGAGGGTAGAAGGATCCTATTATATTTTAGAGTTCTGATTAAATCACCTCCTCATTGCATATTGAGGGTTTAACTTTAAGTTTTCTCTTAGTATAATGGATTTCACGTTTTGTCTACCCGAACATTTTTCAAAGGTCAGCCGCAGCCCCATTGATTCTATAGATTAATTTTAAATTTGGAACTTCTGAACTCAGTATGTGTGTCAACGGTGTGCGAAGCATAGAAATAGCATGTACCTGTGGCTTATTTTTTTAATTTGGTTTTACAGTCTATGCAATCACACGATTTTTGTCAGTGCTAAGTGGGTGTTAACTGTAGGTTGGCGCAGAGAGATTTGACAAAGAGTATGCATATGGCATACGCCACAATTATGGTAAAGAAGGAAAGAGAACGGTAAAGCATCATCTTTGAACCATGATGCCATTTATGTTGTCTATTACTTAATCAAGATAGCTGATTGACTTGTGATTTAATGAAGATTGTAGACTATGTTTACAAAGCATGACTTTTTCTTTTCTTTTCTCATAAACACATGTTCTAATCAAATAAAGACTGTTGGTACTTGTACCCTATGATTTGAAACATCTCAGAAAGCATTTCTTATGTACTTCCATTGATTTTTGGTGGTTGGAATGAGAGTCTTTTGGCCTGTGCTACCTTTTTATGCATAAAACTTACTTTTTCTTGTTTTCTGTGGGAAGTAATTAGTTTTACCACATGCATGCATAGATTATGAAGTATGGACCCTCTAATTCTGGTAATTCAGTTTTACAATAGCATGTGGTTGATGGGATTAATTGGAAAATCTCAATTACTTTATTCTTTTAAGGGTTTTGATATGAATCATAGGCTACAAATTCATAAATTGGTCTGTCTTCCTTTTGTTTGGTCTGTTCGTCACATCAACTTATATTTCTTTGTCTCTTTGAAAATTTCAGGATTATACACCTTATTCCTGTCAGAAGATCATTCTATCTACTCCAGGTGTTGGAGACCATCATGGTTGCCCTTATCGTCATTTTAGGTAGATTCTTTTACCAAAATCCAAACTCACTTAGACTGGAATAATGAATTCTGTTAGTGATAGGAAAGAAAGCCAAATTTCAGGATAAACCACTTCCCAGAATATCACTTGTTATCAGTTGCTTTCTGTGATCTTGTTTATCTGTAAGCATCTTTAGTGATATAAACTAGATGTTCCTAACTGCGGACCTTTACGGTACATGTTGCAAGTATTTTAAACTAGTTTATCCATTTTTATTTCACCGTGTTGATTATTATGGCTACTTGGTTTTGTAAAATCCTTGTTTCCATGTGTTACTACTGGATATATTTTCAAACATACCGTGCTCAAAATAGTGTTTCTTTATTAACACAAAGTAGAAACTTGATTTCAGCTAAATTACTGTTGATTGCATGAGATTTTACACATTCATTTGCGTGCACAATTATACATGGTATCATTTAACGACTCTTATTTTCAACCTATCCCTTCTAACTAAGAATCAACCAAGATATTAAACTGATTATACATGGTATCATTCAAGCACTCTTGTCTACAACCTGTCTCTCTTAACTAAGAATCAACCTTATATGAAATTGATCATCTTGTGACATTCTTTTTTTTCATTTTATATGTGCATCCCCAATTTCTTTTAGTTGTTTGAAATACTTTTGCTCTTAACCTTCTCTACAGTGAAGAAAATTTAAGAGCCGCCCTTGGTAAAATGGGAGTAAGCAGTCGTGCATTGGATGACGTGATAGACAAAGCAAAAACTAAACATTATCAGGTTATAACTCATCAGTTTATATAAAGTTGTAAATTGGTTGTGCACCATTAATTCTCTCTCAGGTTCTGATTGTGAATAATATGTGTGCAGCTGGCATGCACCTTGACCTATGAAGCTGTTCATGGCTCATCTTGTGATGCTGGAATCAATCATCCAAACCAATACTTAAGTGATAGCCAAAAGATCCTCGAAGCAAAGGTAAATCAGCCGTTTTATGGAGGTTTGACGAACGTCTTATGTGCTTATGAACCTGTTACATGCAATGTTATTAAACCCTCGTCTATATGGATGCACTTTGTGGTTAAATAAGTTTACTCTCAAATAAATGTTTCCTCTTATTTTATTCCCGAGCTATAGGAGGCAGACAAATATAGATTTCGTGTGTGTAATTTATCAGTGGCTATCTCCTGGCTCAAATATTGAAAATCGTGTTCGTTTACAATGTCTCCCTAACTTATTTTTACTCTGTTGCAGTCGACAGCATGATGCAAACAAGTTATATGATCTGATGTACAAGGAACACATCTATCCAAGTGTACGTCTCCCCAACAGTGCCTTGCTACTTTTACATTTGTGTTTGCATGAGTTTGTAATAGAAACTGTACAAGCATGGGCATAAAAGACATGATGCGTAACGGAGTGAGAAGCTTATCCCAGTAAAAGCATGAAGAAAGATTTAAGATTGTAAAAAGTAGTGATGAAAGGAATGATGAGGTTTGGGTGGCATCTATTGCTGTATAGATGAGACCTTTTTCACAAAACAAATACCGTCATAGATTGATTTGAATTATTGAGGTTACTAATACATGGAATCTTGTTTTTGTTTTTCAGGTGGTTATTTTTTATTGAATGCACATACATATTCAACTCTAGAAATGGGTGTAGTTGGAGTGATGAGAAATTTCGTACAAGTTGTATGATAACGTCATGTTCCACATCTTAATTTTACATCCGGACCATTGCATATTTGCATCTCTCTAAGCTAATGGCTAATGGCTAATGGCTAATGCTATTGGTCTAAGTACATATATTTGTATTAGAATTTAAGAATAGAAAAAAAGATATAAAGAAATGAATTAAGGGGGTTAGTATGCAAATGGTAAAATAAAGACGGTTTTTGATTTGCAAATTGCAATCATGATTTGTGCTGATGCAATAATACAACAAATTTGAAACTTAATAAAACCTCATTTTTTATTGTTTTTGTGAAACTTGTAGCTATTTAAAGTAAGATTGTTTTTATGATTAATAAATATAAAAATTGAACTTGAGAAAATAAAGAGTTAGATAGTTAAGACTTGACTTGATATAACAGAATGGCAAATAGTTGATTGTATTAGATTTGATATAAAAGTGAAGTTGATAATGATAGTGTGTCTTTGGATTAGTTCCCATGAAATCCAGCAAGAGAAAGAAAAAGGAGTTTTATGGGGGTACTAATACTAATACTAATACTAATGACTAAATCATCCAAACTGCATTAATCGCAATTCATTTGGGCCTTAATCAACAACCTTTTTTATTTCTCCTTAAGGTTAAGGGATCATATGATAATAATATGAACAAAATTATCATACTTTGTGTTTATATTCCAATTACTTCATGTCTTGTTTATTTGATATGAGAATTTTGAAACTAGACCTATTTATTTAATTAACAAAAACAAACAAACAAACTCTTCTTTTCTTGGACCCCTATCTCTATCTCTATCTCTATCTCTCTCTTTCTTTTCTTTTTTTCAAAAAAAAAAAAAAAAAAAAAAAAACTTTCTTTCACCCTTTATAAACAAACACATAACCAATAAGTGGTAGAAACAATCACACATCAACAACAAACACATTCCATCATTGATGTCGAATTTGGATTTAATGTGTGTGAGCCGTGATCAAGCTTAAATTGAATCCATTTTGGATGACCTTATCTTTCATTTTATTTTTGATTTTTGATTTTGGATGGAGCATAGTAGATGTGAGATTTGTTTGTTCACATTTTTAGCAGCAGAAATTCTATACATAGAAAGATGTCATTTTGTTAAAAAAAAATGATTTTAAAAAAAAACATTAAAAGTAAAATGAGAATTCGTAGAATATGAAATAGAAATAGAAATAGAAATAGAAATAGAAATAGAAAGTTGGATGGATGGGAGAGGTGAGTTAAAAGTTAAAAAGAGGGAAAGGGAGAGGCATGATAGAGGTTAAAGTGTTTTCCTAAGATAGAAAGGGTGGTCCACGTGTCATATGGCTGACGCTGACCTTGTTTCATCCTTTAAGGTTTCAATCAATTCTTATAAAATAACCAAACCTTTCATATTAGAATTAGATCAAAGATATGGATAGCATCTAGGATGAGATGTTAGCATGAATTACGTTTCATATCTTCTTATTACTCTTTCATTTTCTATTTTTTTTTTTTTTTTTTTTATTCATCACTCATTTCTTACATCATCTGTTATTCAAAACTAAATTATTTTTATCTCGTATAAATGACCGGTTGTTTTAATCTTTAATAGATACTTACCAATGGTGGTTCAATGTTAAAACTAATTAACGCACAACAAACTAAAATCAAACGAGTCAATTAAATTGATTGATATCAGTGAACAACTTAAGAAAAAGTATGGAATTACATCTTAAATTACGTTTTTCGTCCTTGTGGTTTGCTAAAAATTGTAGATTTCATCCTTGTGGTTTCAAATATTTGGTTTTCGTCTCTGACTTGTGTTTAAGCATGAATAAAAACAAATTGTAAATGATAGTTTTTTATTTATGTTAGAAAGATTAGATATATGATTTGCTATAAAATCATCAACTTAACAATATAATATAAATGCATGTAATGTGAATTTGAGAAGCTAAAATCAAATAAAACCTAATTTTGTTATGGTTAAAAAGATATGAATGTTTGTATATCAAATACAACTAATTCATTTTATTTGTATATTTTTCTTCGTATTGTATTTTTGATGATTAACTTGAAAAGTTATGATTTAATTAATAACCAAATTCATGGTATATATATAGTTTGGCCTTTTAACTTTCAAAACTATATATGTTGCTATACTTTAAAGCAATTATATTTAAAAAAAACTTTTATATATAGTAAGTCTAAATTTTTTCAAAATAACCAAACCATTTCCTTCCTTTTGCAGTATGGAATTAATATGTGATGAACCCAAATCACCATTTGACCCTCTTATCTCTTAATACAATTTGAACATAAAAGTGGTTGCCTAACATCTTAAATGCTTCTTATTCTCTTACGCCTTCATCAATTACTTGATCCAATTTTTTTACTAATATAAATTACTTTTCTTTTAATTTTTTCCCCTTACTAAATTTTCAATTTATATTTGTTATTTTCTAGTTTTATAAATGATTAAATAATTTGGTTAAATCAATTGATAAGACACATTTCTTTTTATTCTTATAAAACATTATGTAATAAATTTCTAACGATTAAACTTTACATTTTTTGTCAGTTTACAAAAACAATCAGTCTTATTACAATACCTTATATGTTTTAAAAGAGTAAATCGATATGTATGAACAAAACGGACTATATTACAATATACAATTGCAAAGCAAACAATTTTCTGTTAATTAAAATTTATGTACTAGTCCTTTAATTGTAAACGAGTATTTTATCAACCAATATATTTAATGGAAAAAACAATGTACTTGTAATGAATAATTTAGATTATATTATTATTATGACAAAACTATTATTATTTGAAATTAGATGATCAAGTAAATATGTATTGCATGATTGGTCAGAAGTCAGGATTCTTAGAGATGACCAATAGATTGAAGGAACTATATGGTGTCATCTGTTGACACGTAAGCCCATACTCCTCTATTATCACACCGGTTTTAAGGTTTCCACCTGTCACTTCTTTCTCATCCGTCCGATCAATCTCAATCTCAATCTCAATCTCAATCTCAATCTAACTCTTCCATTTCCAATTTCCATTTCCAAATAAATCTATAATATTACACACTGAAATAAGTTAATATATACATTTTAAATAAGCAATCCCAAACATCTCCGTGGGTTGGGGTTCAGTGAAAAAAGAAGTTATGATGAAAAGCGTAAGAAAATATCTCCATCCTTGGATCAATCCTAATTCAATATCAACATTAGTGAGGTGCACCGAGATGCAACCGATTGATTTCCTTTTAAAGCGTAATTCATGGGTGGAAATGAATTAAAAGTGATCAAGGGTCAGATCTTTTCTTATGTTTCTTACCATAACTTCACCACACCCACATAATTCTATACATACATATACATATACATATACATATACATATACATATATATATGTACTGTTGGGTTCCGATGAGATGGAGAGTTGATGTGAGAAACGTAAGAATGAATCTCCACCATTGTACGCATATTAGAATCAGATGCATCGAGATGTATCAGATTAATCCCCGTATTAAGCGTGATTTATGGGTGAGTTGGAGATTAAAAGTGATAAAGAGTGGAGATCACTTCTTACACTTCTCACCTTAACTCTCATTCTCACAAGATCTTTCACACACACACACATATATATATATATATATATATGAGTTTTTTTTTTAAACTTGCTAATTTGTGAGACGCATGAGATCATTTTTTTTTATAAAAAACTTGCTATATATGAGTCTTTCTCTCCTATTTTTTTCTCCATTATCTTCTGGATCCTGTTTATATGGCATTAATGTACAAACATAATAGAATATGAATGGTTAATACATTGTGAACATTAATTTTCTTATAAATATTATTATAGTTTGTAAACACACTTTAAATCTACAAAGATTTGTTATGACTTGTGAACATATTGTGAACACAAACTAAATCAATAATGTCAAATCTAAACTTACCATATTACTCTACTAAAAAAAATTATTAAGGTTGTGGAGAGAGAAAAAGATAAGCATTTGATCTTTTCTAAAAAAATGCATTAATTTCTATTCAGTAAATAATTAAAAATTATCTCATCAATGAATTATTCTAATATATAATGTTTAGGATGAATCTCACGTGAAATTTCCGTCGATAAATACTATTATAGTAATCTTCCAGTAAAATTTCGAATAGTTTTCTAGAGTTTCCAAATGATATTAATTAGTCGATGTGTTTACAGCTATAACATTTCATGTTATAAGATTGATATCCATGGAACAAAATTCATCTATTTTTTAATATAACATTTAACTTATAAATGTTATATTATACATAAAAAAATGAATTCAACTTTTAAACAAATTGAGTAAAATGTAAATATTACAAAAGTTTGAGTCAGTTAACTTCATTCAGATTTATTTTATATTTGAAATCAACTGAAACTTAAGAATTACTAAGATGGAGATTTAGTAGTTGATTAAAGTTGAAAATGGTAATATATACATGAGACAAATATTACTAGTTCAATATAATTGATGTTCCAACTGTAAATTCAAATTAATAGTCTAGTGTAATTAATTGTGTGTTGCCTTGTTTCTAATTAATTGTGGTTGCAATTCTAGAATTTTCAGGTATTTATGTATTGTCTTTCAATTGATCTCTCCATTTTATTTATAATTTACTGTTATTAGTGTTAAAGATATTAATGACTATCTGTAATTATTACATCTAACTGATTTTTATATATTCGTTTGAATTGTTTTTACCCATGCCATGCCATGAAAGAAGGTATATTTATGCATATGAAAACTTTTTTAGAAAAATCAAACATGCATCACAACAACAATACATTTGATCTAACATTTTTTAAAAACTCATGATTTGCCTTACATAAATATTATATACCTATAAAAACGATATATATTATTTGTATTTTGAATGATTGTGTCAACCAAAAATTAATATATATATATATATTTATCAACATTTAACATATACAAATGTTGGTTTGATACATATTCTTAATTTGAAAGTGTTTTTTTTTTTATTTGTAATTGAAATGATTTAAATAACTTGATTAAACCAATAGAATTAATGGAGGTAAATACCATGTATATATAACCAACAAATCTAGCTATGCAAATACTCTGTGTGTTTTTCACTTTCTCGCACTTTAATTATAATATCTGTATATATGTACAACTGTATCTATAATTGTATGCAACTGTATCTATAAAATTAAGAATGTGTGTATAAACATATAGGGGGTGATACAAGGTAGGGAAATTCATAAAGGAGCTGAGAGAGATTGAGTTGCCTAGAAATTTTGTGTTTTTGTGAGATCTATCAAGAATTTTGTGTTTCTGTGAGATCTGTGTCAAATGGGAAGAGGGAGAGTTGAATTGAAGAGGATAGAGAACAAAATCAACAGGCAAGTCACCTTCGCCAAACGAAGAAATGGACTTTTGAAGAAAGCTTACGAGCTTTCTGTTCTTTGTGATGCTGAAGTTGCTTTGATCATCTTCTCCAATAGGGGAAAGCTGTACGAATTTTGTAGTAGCTCAAGGTATATATATATATATATATATATATTATACACGCTAGCTTTTTATATGTATATGTATATCTAATGTGTCTCTAAACTCTTTCTTTCTTCTAGATCTAAATAAACTCAACCAAAATATTTGAAAAGGAAAAAGTAATTTTGTTTTTGGCTTCTTTGATTTGCTGTTTTCGTGAATGTCTCGGCGTTTATGGAACTCCGTGCTCGTTTTGTTTGCTAGATCTGCAAGTGGAAAACCATGAAAACCGATTTAATTTCCTATATATAAACATCATCATTTTCTCTTCTTCTGCTTCACCACTAGTTTCTTCGCCTTTTCCAGCTTTCTCTTTGATTTTTCTAACATTCCAACTCTTCTTTTATGAATCAACATCTATAGTATAAAGCTTTTTAGGTTTTCGTTTCAGTTTTCATGGCACAATATTTTCTCTCTCGTCCTTCCTTTTCTTATATTTTTTCTCTTGCTTGTTTTCTGCTCCGATGCAAATTAAGTGATCTTCAAGTTCATATAGTTTTCTAATTGCTTCAATCGCTTTCAACTTCATATAGTTTTCTAATTGCTTCAATCGTTTCTCTTACTGGATAATAAAAGAGATTCCTTTTTTTTTTCTTCTTCTGTATAGTAGATGTTTTCACTCTAGGGTTTGCTTAGGTCTGAGTTCATCATTTTTTCTTTTAAACTTTTTTATCAGTTGTATTTCTTGAGAATTCAGAATAATTATGCATTATAAGTAAGTGTTCAGGGGAATTTAAAATTATTTATTTTTCATATATACATTTTCTCCTAAAAAAGATTAATTAATTAACAGCTAATCTTATTAATTTAGAGTTGGTCGACCAAACTGTATTATTTAGCTATAAAGTTATGGTTTGAACGTGAAGCCATATGATGGCAATTCGAAGAGGCAAGAGGATCTACCAACTAGTTACCAAGATTGCAATTGCTTCTTGATCGGGATTGCTAGATCTTCTGTTTTCTTCTTCTCCTAGTGTAGGTGCTTATATCTTTGATTTCAAGAAAAGTTGCCGATCTGATCATCTCAGTTTCCTTGGCGAAAGTTTGATTTTGGTCTTCCAAGTGGAAAATATTCGACCTTTTGTGGTCACTGCCTGCACAATTTCAGTCTCACTCTAGTAGTTTAGTTGTCTTCCATGGCTGGTGAAGCATGAATTTGCTATGATCTATGAATTTATAGACATAGCGAAGAAGAAAAGTTTGAGGCGCTATTGTTCAAAACTATGACGATTAATAGAAAGAAATTGAGAACAGAATGTCGTGAAAGATGTTGATATTGCTAACATGGCAGCAGGGAACTTTGTTCAAGAAGGGGATTAGGGAGTCCTGAGAATGAACTAGCCCTTTGGTCAGTACTCAAATGTGTAGCTAAGTTTCTGTTTACCCTATTTGAGGCAGAACATGCTTCTTTATATGTAACCAACTCCAAATATAGGGTGTCATGAAATGATCTAGCATCAAATCTTGGCTGTTATGGCTTAATTACGTGTTATTGCATTGCATTATTTTTGGAATTCTAATACCAAACTCTTAATTAGGTTGACAAAGGATTATAGCCCTAGAATCATATATATTGTTAGTTTATTCTTGTTTTCATTATCCATTGTGTGATTGCATGTCTCCGCATGCATAACTTTTGTATATACCAAAAGCAAGAGGTTCCTAAATGCTTTTGCCCCTTAGCATGAAGACATGTAGCACCATATAAGTTCTTTTTGGTACATAAATTGGCATGCACAAGTTTTGTCTGAAGGTTGGGAGAGCTTTTCTTGAACCAAGCCCTCTTTTTGGTTTAAGAACAGAAACACACATTTGTTGTTCAACATGTGGCTCTAAATCTACCCCAGCCATCAATTGCCACGGAATTAGATATTTTATCACTTAATTAATCTAGTACTTTCCAAATACGTAACTATATACTAAGCAGTAGTGTATTTGTCATCCTTTTTTTGGGAAAGTTTGGGAATCCATATTAATTTTGTTTTCGAAATGTCTCCACGTTTCATTATAATTGAGAGCTTATTAATTAAGTGATAGGAAGCAGACTAGAGGTTTGTAATTTTTAAGGATTTTATGGTTTCACACTAACCCTTGTTAATTAAGAGCTGCACATAAACAGTGTAAATTAAATGGAACTTCAAAATTATACGTTCAAGATTTCAAGTCATGGTGGGAGTCTACATGCTTCGATATTCTCCAGTTATCAATGTTACACACCAAGCTATATATTCATGCTGTTCAAGTTCATAATTGACATCATTAATTTCAGTTCTTTATATTTACTATTATATTTATTCCTCTTTTTTGTGCATATGTTCTTCTAGCAGCATGCTAAAGACACTCGAGAGGTATCAAAAATGTAACTATGGAGCACCTGAGACAAATGTGTCAGCGAGGGAGGCACTGGTGAGTGTTCCCTTTTCTATGCATTGCAATTCTCCCCCATTCTCATCAGTTTAAATAACCCAATAGGCCAGCAGGCGGAACAAGAAGAGGGCCCGACAATCTTACCACCCCGCGGTCGAAAACTGGAAAAGTTTGTGCATCAAACTTTGATACTAAATGCTTCCTAAAAAGAAGCTCCGTCTACAAGCTCATATATAGCTAAAGATTTTTACTATTTAGAACAACCAAGTACAAAGAATTAGCACATAGAGTTTCTTGGAGCTTGTTAACGACAACAAAAAGTTCATAACATGATGAAAAGGTCCCTATGATGGATATACTACCACTAGAGGCCAGATATAGGGATCTCTATATTCCCTTGAACAAATTGGGACGCTTTGATAAAAATTGAGGACTCAACTTGTGAAGTGGTAATTATTAATTTGGACAATAAAAGATCTTTTATCCCAAGATTGTCCTGAAATACTTGTGTTCATCATTGATCCAAATGTTCTTCCTGAAGAGTATTTGGAATACCTTCCCATGCCAAGATTTAGGCTTGCTGAAAGTCCAAACATGATAGAGACCTATTCGAGATGGTCAATCTCCAAGAAAAGCCGAAGGTCTAGAGAAGAAGTTTAGGACAATTTTTCTGCTTAATTCAATAATAAAACGGAATTACAATACTTAAAGTAATAAAACCTCTAAAGCTAACCCACTCTCCTACTACTATCGTCCATAGCATCCTACCCATGACCTTAAAAGAAGGGCATGACTCTTACTAAGCAAACACTAAATAAGAAATTAAGAAAACTAATAATCCTAATAAAAACTAGAAATGACCCGGTCTTTGGGAAGGCTCGTATCGATACACATATCAATCACCGGAAACTTTGATAATCAACATCCCTAATAATAAAGGCATCGATTGTCGTCCTTGGTTTCTTCTCATTAACCATACTTGATTTCGACCCTTCTTAATTAAGACAATATTCTCTTTACATAATCTTCTGGTACAATACCACAAGTAACAAGTTCCACAATTTTCTTTGATTGTCGTAGAAAGAAAGATGCACCTCATATAAGAATCTGTGTTACATTGTAATTTCCAGCCGATGATCATGGACAGGATGTAAGCCAAGTATTGTACTTGGATAAAAGTAAATTTTTTTACTGTGTTGATAATGTATAACCACGGAAGCCACCATATGGATACAGCGAACTAGGTGTTCAAAAACGTTGGCTGAAAATTTAACTGTAGTTCTCGTGATCCTTGAGTATATAGGACCACTGTGAAGGAATTTTGTTTCTTCATTAGGGATGCTATGGAACAGTATAGGTAGGCTTTTAAACACTTCATGCAATGAACTTAGGGATAACATAGAAACTGTATGTGTTAAAGAGGCTACTTTGTTCTTTGAGTATGGGTTAATGGTAGTGAGAAATTATTAAGGTTCATGATATATAAAAATTGTTCTACCCACAATCCTTTATGTCCATCGCATCATATATATAGAAAATATGCTTCTAATTAAGGGTATTTATGGTATGATGTGGTGTACTTAGACTCCAAACTGCATATATATGCGGTTTAAACTTTTTCCTAAACGGTGTGGTTTATACCTAACAAATAGTTAGAAACGGACACATTTAAGTGTTCTTTTCATCACCCTTGCCACGGTAAGTAAAATAGTTTTGCCTCCTTAGTTATGTGACTAACATATACATGATCCTGACTTTGATTCAGAATTAGTAAATATATGTGAATTTCTTAGTTAAACCATGCATGGATACCAGACATCTTTTCTAAATTGTGTCTCTTTTAATGCAAGCATGCAAACCACGAACCGGTTTTTTCTAGTCAACTTGACTATCCTAATTACCCTGTTAGCGTTAGTGTTAGGATTAGGGTCAGTGTTACGGTTTCAGTTAGGTCTAGGGTTAAGGCATGTGACCAATTTGGCAGTGCAAAGGAGACATATATATATATATATATATATATATACATACACCGAAGATACACACGAACAATATTAAATTGTGTATCCTTTGGTGCATGCTTGCAAGACCGAGTTTTTTTATTTAGTCACCTAGTTAAAACAATAATTACACTGAAGCTAGGGTTAGGGTGCATGATCAATTTTTGTTTAGAGTTTCACCAAAACTTTTCATGGTATGAAACTTTATGCAACCATTTCAAGTGTCTTACAAATTGTTACAAATTGTTAGATTTAATCTAGATCCATACTAAATCAATGATTAATAAGCAATGAAATGCTAAAAAATAATAGAACAATAAGTAGGAATACTAAATACAACTTGATTGATGGATGAATATTCAACAAMACATTATAGACTTTTCAGATAAATAGACCGTAAAAATAGCAGTGTTTATAGTCCTAAGATGAAAATCGCCCCAACTATAATTTATTTGTTGTTGGTGATTATAGATATCAAACACTCTCATTTCTTAAGAAATCTCATACCGGTTAGAGAACATTTTTAAGTTTCGTGTTTGGGTAATTGGTTATATCATTAATCAATCTAACTTGGTTACCAATTGTGGTTGTAGGAGTTAAGTAGTCAACAGGAGTATTTGAAACTTAAAGCACGTTACGAAGCACTACAACGGTCCCAAAGGTAAAGTTGAAAAGGGTTGGTACATTTTTTTCCCGTTAGGTCTTGATATATATGGTTGTTATATATGTACATATATAGGAATCTTTTGGGCGAGGATCTTGGCCCTTTAAGCTGCAAGGAGTTGGAGTCACTAGAAAGGCAACTTGATACATCTCTAAAACAGATCAGATCAGCCCGGGTATATATTATAAATTTGCAACATTATATATGATACAGAAAATACGTTTTTGTCATCAATTAGTGTCAATTAAACTAGATCATCTACCTCATGGATTGATTGGTTCATGTATGATAGATATTAGTTAGAAAAATTAATATGAATCTGGAAAATACATGCATGTGATATATCTTTGACATTAACTTTTGTATCAACAGACTCAGTTCATGTTGGATACACTTACCGATCTTCAGAAAAGGGTAAGATAACATAAAATTAAAATCGAATTTGGTTCTTGTGTTGCTAGTGTTGATGATTAATGCTTAATTTTGCAGGAGCATGCACTAAACGAAGCAAATAGAACCTTGAAGCAAAGGGTAGGAATGCATATATGTGATTGATAAATAAATTTAGAGTGAAATTAATGTAATGATATGATGCATGCAGTTGATGGAAGGAAGTCAAGTCCATTGGCATCCACAAGAAATGGGATACGACAGGCAACATGAAGCTCAACATCAAAGTGATGAAGCCTTCTTTCATCCACTCGACTGTGGACCCACTTTACAAATTGGGTAACGTTTTTATACATCTTTTAATTAATTACCAACTCATCTATAACTTAATTAATTAGCTATCATTCATTGTTTTTTATTATTTAATAATCAATTAATTAATTCATGTTTATAAATTAAATTACCTTTCCTCTTCCTTCAACGTTGTTATTAAAAAGTAAATGTTGGGTTGAATTGTTTTGAATTAGGTATCAAACGGATCCATTAGCAGCAGCAGCAGCAGCAGGACCAAGCTCCAATAATTACATGCAAGGATGGTTTCAGTGATCAAAAAAGAATATTAATTAATTTGCAAGCTAGCTGAGGATCTTGTTCTACTCATAAAGAGGCAAATGTGTGTTCCATCTTAATATATAATATTGCAACTACTCATTTGAACATATATATATATATAAACATATACATATATGCATAATTAAATTCATACATATTATAAGCATTCACATTAATGCATCCTATATATTAAAGCTCTTTATATAGTTGCTGCATCTACAAATGCCATTCTTAGTCACATACATATATAAGGCTAATACTTTTTTGTTTTCATCAAAACCTTTTTTTTATTTAACTAATAATTAAGAGTAAAATGGAATAGTACGTACCGTATAACACATTTGGCCGGTTTCATCACTTCAATTCATGGCTTTATAGAGGCAAATTGAAGCATGATAGCAACCCATATTCCAAAATCAAAAGTGATTGAAATTTCAATTCTATTTTTAATATATATGATTGTTGATAAATACTCACTAATTAAAAAATTACCAAAGAGGATGTCTTCTTGTTGTTATAAATTGCTCCAAGCCTACATATGACATTCTCCATCTCTATGTTTGACCATTTTTTCTTCTCCAAATAGAGACAAGACCTTCAATTTATATATAGGTTAGAAAGAAAAAATGGAATCATTCAAGTTTTAATTAAATAAAAATGTAAAATTTCTTACGGAAGTAATAGCTAGACGTTAGGACGAGGTGAGGGATCAAATCAAAAACAAATTACATCGATCTAATGGAGGGTTATTATGTAATAAATGAATCAAATCCATTAATGAAATCACAAACCTTAGGGACCAAAACTATAGTTTAATTACTCTAAGTTAAATAAAAACATAATATAATCTAAAAAATATATTAACGGAATTTAGCTAAAATATAAATCACAACTAACTACGTAAATTAGTCTTATAAAAATATATCCCATTAACTAGTTTATATATTTGGTTTTTATACTTGCAAATCAACTTTTTTTTTTTTAAACATTTTGACCTCTCTATTTAATTTGACGAGTTGTCACGTCCAAAGATAGTGACATTTTAGAACTTCTAAAATATAAATAACTAAGAGGTAAATTTGTTGAAATGATTATTATAAGTGATTTCCCTTATTAAAATCATTTTTTTCCGTTTCCGTTGTGTTGTTGGGGATCTAACCAATATGCCGTCCCCCACTGCACACATACTTCGTCTCTGAGGCAACTGCAATTGACTACACCACCGTCGATTACGATTACGCTGGGGATATGTATATATAATTCTAAGCAAACACTCTTGTGAAAGTGTATGCCTTCTTCACTAATTAATGCACAAATATATAAGGTTCAATATATATAGAGAGAGGAAGGCTTAAGGGAAAATCCAAAAAAATGAAAAACTTAGAAACACACTACCCTAAGTAGCTATGGGGTGTTGATGTACTTGGAACCTAGACTGGTTACCTGAATATGGTGGTTCAATAGCTCTTCGAAGTCCGCCCTTCAAATAACTACGTTAATTGTTGTAATTTGAACAGATCATTCATCTGGACTGTATGCACATGTGCATTCCAGACAAATTGTTTATAAATTACTTGTTTGCATATGTACATATCATCTAGATGAATGGTTACTAGGGTGTTCCTCATTTTTTTTTCTTACGTTTTTTCCCTTAACTTGACCCTATAAATACATATATATATATATGGACACATTCAAGGGAGAACTGATTAGTTTGTGATAACCGTGAGATCCAATGTGAACCACTCATTTGAAATATTTAATGATATCTCTTAAATAAACTAAAAAAAGGGTAATATAGTAATTTTACTTTTGACAACTAATCAAAATATTTAATTAAATTTTTTAGAAGGAAATATTTAATTAAAATTAGTTACCTAGTATATCAATTACCTAATATACATCGTATTTTAAAAACGTTTATGAATCAAAGTGTATTATTATTATTTTCTTTGTTTTGTGAAATGTATCATAGTGTGCATTTTTCATTGTTTTACAAAGAGTATCACATTGTGCATCTTGCATGTATATATGAGTATCACAATGAATATCGTTTGTAGGTATCATGGTGTGTATCTTGTGTTCATATAAGGCTTATTGGAATAAGGTTCACCGAATAAGATTCGTCGGAGAGAGGAAAGAAGAGATATGAGAGAGGATATTTATAAAATCCCAAAAATGCCCTTAATTAATAGCTTAAGTTAAAATTATGAAAATTATTAATTTTTTAATTTAAGATTTGAGTAGGGATGAGGTTCCCTCCTTAAAATAAAAATAAAAATAAAAATAAAAATAAAAATAAAAATAAAAATAAAAATAAAAATAAAAATAAAAATAAAAATAAAAATAAAAAGAGGAGGTAGGTTTGTATTTGTAGCTAGCTTCAGGGAGCTTAAGAGGATGATATGGACATTTAAAACCCACTATTATGTGAGAGCTATATATACATACACACATTCACATTACACAAATCATTGATCAAAGTAGTTTGTTTATTAATCAATGGTACATCATCTGCATGATCATAGGTCAAATTGTACGACACTTACAATTTTCAGGTGATGCAGTCATTCTAATCAAGTGCAAGTGCAGAAAGATGGGAAAATCATACAAAAATCGCCAACTAATTAACATAGAGATGGATCTTGACGGCAAACAAGAAGAGGCAGATGAAGCCAAAGTAAAGCAATGCATGCATGAGGACGGCAGCTCCGCTGGTCTGAAAAGTGCCAAACTCAACGCAACGCCTGTGTCCTGGCAGCTCAAACAGCAACCCGGGCGTTAACAATACAAAAAGCACAAGCGACACGAAAACCGGGCCCCAATCCAACATCTTGAATGAAAGGAAATGATGGTGATGTGGGTATGTGTTATGTTGTTGTTGGTGGGTGTGGTGTGAATATTTATATGGAGAAAACGAGAGGCATAGACTTTGGTGAGAAGCAAAGTAAGAGTAAGGTGTGGGAGGGAGGGTAGTGAAGCAAGTCACTTGGGATTCACTGTCATGTGTACGTACCTTTCATTATTTTATACTCTAAAGTTAATTTGGTATAATTAATTGCCTTCAGTTTCATGATGGAAATACTGAAATAGTTATAAAACAAAGTCATTTTGACGTCGTTCATCTCTATGCTTTTTCATAAAATGTCTGAGGAGGTGGATTGTCTCGATAAACCCGAATTGTTTCTTTATCATCATCATTTCATGATGCACCTTACCTCAACCATTTTCTCCCACAATATTTCATAATAAGGTTTATGCCACCCTAGTGTTAGGAGTAATCAATATTAAGTAGAAAGATATATATATATATATATTAATGAAAATAAATTTACGTAAAATTTGAAATTCTTGTACAAATCTATGGAATAAACATAAAATCAACAATAACAATTGATAAAATAAGTAACTCTAATTATTTGTAATTTGTTGATTCTACATAAAAACAGAACAAATTGAAGTCTTCATATTTGTAATTTGTTGATTCCATGTAAAAACAGAACAAATTAAGCAGTGTCCTAGGCCCAAATTTTGTCCTTAGTGTTGGTGTTGTCTTGAATCTATCAAATTAAAAATGTTTGGTGATGGAATTTGTAATTAAAAAATTACATAAAAATGAGAAATTTCAAATAGTTAATTTGATACTAATATCGATATATTTTTGTCAATTTTTTATGATATCTTCAAACATATATTTTATTCAAAAATTAAAACATCATCGCTTTCTCAAAATCACATAAAGCCATATTATAACATTGATTGAGATAAAAAATAAAATAAAATATTAAAATCACGATGTATCTCGCCGCATTGCATGAGTACTCTTCTAGCCTTATTAAGCAAATTTAGCAAAAGTCTTAAAATATTAAATGCCCAAAATACCCTTTATACTCACTTTTTCACTTTTTACCTCCTCCTCTCCTCACATACACCCACTCCTCACATACATTCACCCTCTCACAACCGATTTTTTTTTTAAATTATAATTTTAAATTTATACTTTATACCCATATTATTAATTAATTAATTTACTTTACATCATTTACTTTTAAATGTTTCATTTTAAACATTTATCAATTTAACATACATAATCGTATATCAATTAAAACATGTTTAAAAAGTACATTTTTATTTTAACAAGTTACACCATTATAATCGTCTCGTTAATACTTTCGAAATGAGTCCAATATTGAATAGTTTTTGACTTAATTATATTATTATATATTATATTATATATTATATATACTGTGAAAAAATATTTTTAATATTTACGATATATACTTTTATAGTTATTTATTTATATATATACTATATATTTTAGGGTTAGGCTGTCCAAATTGCACTGTATAATATATTTTGAATTAATATGTTCTTGGGTTTTTTTGAAATCTATATATACATATATTAATTCAACCTTAATCTGAGTTTCTGGACAAGAAAGAGGGTAAGCAGTTAAAATTTCATTCTAAGACTCATCTTTTTTGTCTTTTCATGGCTTATGATTTGTCAAATTTGTAGTTTTTTATTGGTTTTGAGTGTTTATCTTAAAACTCAAGTTTCTTGGTTCTTTGCTCTTGGTGTAAATCGAATACATTTGTGGAGTCGTTTAAATATGTTGGATTTTAAACTGTCATACAATGTTTTTCATCGATAGTCTGTATTTGGAACCATAACTCTTATTTATTCAAATTGTATTAATATATAAAGACCAAGTGTAACCTATATCATCGTTAAATCTTATCTTATAAAACCAGTGGAACTTCAAAATCGTTAAAATTCATGGCTCCCGCTGCATTGCACGGGTACACAACTAGTATATATATAGGAGTATATATATATATATATATATAGAGAGAGAGAGAGAGAGATGTTTCCCTCAACTATCATAACCGCAAGACACGAACAGAGAGTTGCATGATGCGACCTGGCACTTAACTTTAGTCGCGGGAAAAATCGTGAAAACAATCCAGAGAGATATGCGGTTGGGTGTGCAGGTTTGGCTGTGGGAAGACCTGCATAAGCCATTGATTTCACATTCCAATGAGTTGAGTGAGTTTACACGTGAATTTGGTTCTATGGAGGAGACTTAGTTTCATGTTAGATCAAGAGATTCAAGACCCATTTTTTGACCTTTAAATATACTAGAAAGATACTCGCATAATGAGTGAGATATATCTCGATTTTAATTTTTTGTTTTATTCATTGACTCTATAGATGTTATAATACAATTTTATTTGGTTATAAGAAATCGATAACGTTTTTGTTTTTGAATTAAATAGAAAAATTTGAAGATATCATAAATTTTAAAAAAAATATCAATATTAATATTAAATTAAGTATTTAATTCTTTCTTTGTAATTTCTTTAATTCAATTTTTTATTATTATAACTTACTTTAAGTTTAATAATGAAAGTAATTTATTTTTTGTTTAATAATATAACTTTTTATTAAGATAATAATTAAATATTCTGTTAGAATTCAATTATTATCTTAATATACTTTAGATACTTTATATTCAAAATGAGATGTTTATCCTGTATTTTTGTTATATTTATTTACAGTTAGTTACACAAATTCAAATATGGAGCTTTTAATAAGTTGTACTATGTACAATCTATTTATAATTTTTTTTTGAAAGGCAAAAAAGAAGGACAAGGAAGAGAGCTTCGGCATGACCATCACCCTCACCAAGCCAACCAATATATTAAAAAACAGATCCAGCAAGAAGCTAGACACAAAAAGATACTAGAATCCACCACAACAAGCGAGAACAAAAAGAAACAAAACCAAAACAAAACCCAAACCAAAGACAGACAAAGAGACTAAACAAGGTAAGGAGAAGAGAACCAACTATCCCAATTAAGAATGAACTTACGATTCCTATTCCCCATCCAAAGCTTGGATAAATTTTGAACCCAAGGAAATAGGTCTTCACCTTTCTTCTTAATTTTCGCATCATCCTCACCATGAAAAATTTCATTCCGCCACTTCCAAAGTTGCCAAAGTGCCACAACGCAAACAGATAAGAAAGCCACTCCAACCTTGCGATGAGTGCCTACTTGATTGATTAGCATTTTAAAATCAGACACCGAGGATAGACGCGGGGCTTTAAGGTCCCACCAAGCCCATATTTTCCTCCAAAGAATGCTTGCCATTGAACAAGAAAAGAAACAATGATCCATTGTTTCAACATCTTTGCCACATAGGATGCACTCCAATGATTGTAACGGAATTCCTCTTTTTGAAAGATTGAATCTTACCGGGATAGCCTCTTTAAGGAAACGCCAAGTGAAAATATTTACCTTCTTTGGAATTAAAGGACTCCAAAAATGCGGTTCATTGCTCCCAACGCTTGTATTGACCGCCCCTTGAATTAATTTGGACAAGAAATTGACCGAGAAAATCCCTTTCTTGTTCCAATTCCAAGACCACATATCCTCACCTGAAGTATTGAAAGCCACTTAAGAGAGATGCCTTTCTAAGGCTTGAAGATCATCTAAGCTTCTACCCCTAATCGTTATTTTCCAATCCCAAGCACCACTCCAAGAACCATTAAAATAAGTCCATCTTTCTTTGAAAGAAACATTTTTATTCCTTTCCATAGCATAAAGTCTAGGATATAGGTCTTTCAGCTTTGAGCCTTGACCGATGCTCGCATCTTTCCAAAAAAGAGAAGAAAAATCTTTAGCAACCTTTTTCGAAAACGATTGAATAACATTTTGACATGCAACTTCAACATTCTTGCACGTGTTGACAATAGAAACCTAAACACTATTTACAACCAAAGGCCTATTAGAAAAAAGACCACCATCCTCATCATAAAATTCAGAAATGACATCCTTCCATATCGCATTAGAACTAGACAGGAACCTCCAAACCCATTTTGCTAACAAAGCGTCATTTTTAGCATTTAAACTAACGATACCCAAACGACCATTTGACTTAGAGCTCAAAATTTTCTCCCAAGCAACCCAATGTAATTTTTTTCCATCCTCCTTAAATCCCTAAAAAAACCTTCTCCTTATAGATTCCAAAGATTTTAACACTGAGTTGGGCGCTTTGAAAAGAGAAAAGTAGAACAACGGAAGAGAAGATAACACCGACTGGATCAGAGTAAATCTTCCACCTATGGAGAGGCAATGTGACTTCCAATTTGAAAGTTTTTTAAAAAATTTAACTTCCACGACAGACCAAGAAGCTTTTTTTCTTCATGTTACCACCAACGGGAAGCCCCAGATAAATGAAAGGAAAGGAAGAGACCTTACACTTTAACATAACTGCCATACTGTTGACCTCCGCCTCCGAAACTTCAATACCAAAGAGATTGCATTTGGATAAATTTATGTGCAGTCCTGAAACGTCATGAAAGCAATTAAGAATATTAGTAAGAGTTACCAAATTCTTACGAGACCACTTTCCAAAAATTAAAGCGTCGTCCGCAAATTGAAGGAGAGAAAGATTTCGATTAGACTTCGCAAGCCGAATGCCCTTGAACAGCCCCTGATTACAAGCAGTCCTGATCATGATCTATAAGACTTCCCCCACAAGCAAAAAAAAAGAAACAGAGAAAGAGGATCTCCTTGCCTTAGACCCCTTTTCATGTAAAACTCATCAGAAGGCGTTCCGTTTATCAAAATAGAAGTAGAAGCAGATTTTAAGCAACTGCTAATCCAATTGATCCATTTCTCTCCAATACCAATTTGCTGCATGGTGTGAAAGATAAAGTTCCAGTTTACCGAATCATAAGTCTTTTCAAAATCCACTTTGAAAAGAAACATTTTCATATTCTTCTTTTTGGCGTGATTCACAATTTCATTTGCTATTAAACAACCATCGAACATTTGCCTTCCCGGGATGTAGGCAGATTGATTGCCACTGAAGAGCTTGCTCATAACTTTCACCAATCTATTAGCCAGAAGCTTAGCAATTATTTTGTACATGCAACCAAGTAAACTGATGGGCCTAAAGTCCGAGATATCCAAGGGATCTATTTTTTTAGGAATCAAAGCAATGAAAGAAGTGTTACATCCCCTGGAAATCCTGCCCGATTTTTCAAAGAACGTAACTGCATCAACTATAGACCTGCCAATTACTGACCAGAACTTCTTAATAAAATTGAAATTTAAGCCATCAAGCCCAGGAGCTTTCGACCCATTACAAGACCAAGCAGCCTCCTTTATTTCCAAAGCAGAAAAAAGCGATCCCAGAAAAGCGGCATCATTAAACGATAATTTAGAGAAGAGAGGGCTGAAAAACTTTGGCCTAGAGGAGCAAGGTTCTTTGAATCTGTTAGCAAAGTGCTGTAACAAAACATCTTTGACGACCAAAGGATCAGAGTTCTAAATCCCGTTACAAATAATCCCTTTAATTTTATTCCTTCTCCAATGCTGATTAACAACATTATGAAAAAACTTGGTATTTTCATCCCCTTTTAAAGCTCACTTAGACCGCGATTTTTGATTGAGATCCAACTTTGCACGATTTTCCAAAAGCATCAGTTCAAAAATCCATTCATCTCTTTTTTGGCAATCGACTGCAAAAATACCCCCCCTTTTCAGCTTTAGAATCCCAATCAACTAAAGCTTTAAAAATCTCATCTTTTCTTTTTGATTCACTGGCTAAAATTTTTTTTGACCACATTCTCAAGTCTTTCTTGAGAGCTTTAACTTTTTCCTTAAAGACAAAATCAGCAACCCCATAAAAAGAGCTTGAAGACCAAGACGAAATGACCACTTTTTGAAAATCATCGATACCCAACCATGAGTCAAAAACTCTAAATGGTTTGGGCCCCATATTAAAGTCATTAACTTTCAAAAGAATGGGACGGTGATCAAAAATATATCTATGTAAGACCTGTATGAAAGGATCTTTCCAAATAGAGAAAAAGTTAGAAGTTACCAGAAATTGATCGAGCTTGCTCATCTTAGAACCATCCTTGCTAAATCGGGTGAAGCGTCTGCCACAAAAATTAATATCGAGAAGCCCAGAAGATGAAATAAATTATTGAAGTTCAAAGCCTCTTTAGAGTCGAAAATTGATCCCATTATTTCTTCAGGATGCCGAACTGCATTGAAATTCCCCAAAATCACCCAGATAACGTCCGGAGCACTCTGAATCACCGAGCTAAGATCCTCCCAGACTCTTGCCTTTTAAGTAATATGCTTTAAGAAGCAGTAGTTTACGTATAAAGAATGGTTTTTAAAAGTTTATGTCAAATACTTTATAATATAGTATAGATATGTGTATCAACGAAAGTCCACCATGAACACCCACATACCAAGGCACAACCCCTAAATGGTTCATTTAATGCTCAAGGACCGGTGTTTATTAAGTGAGTTCATTTTCCATGAGGCTTCTATGTGAGACATACAAACCAAGTTACAACATATAGTTATGGCAGCTTTTCGTGTTATGATACCACAACCATTAATTAGCCTTTACTCGTCTAACATTTTAGCAATCTTAAGAAAAAGAATTGAGTAAGACTATCAATTACTTCACTTGTACTTTCCATGCCTGAGTCGCTAGGCTTGTTAATTATTGATTACAATATATATTAGCAAGGAAGGTGGTAATAGCAAGGGGTGTGAAAAGTATTTTTAGTGGCCCTTAGACCTTATGTCAAGTTTCAATTATTTTGTAGGTGTGTGATGTTACCACAACCAGTCAAGAGTCACATCAACCACCCCCGGTGAAGAGAAATCATGTCGGCAAAGATGGTGGTGAAGGTTACATCCAAATCCAATTCACCGGAAAACAACAAAAAGACAATGAAATGGGTCATGTGGTGAAGACCAAGAAGTTGTTTAGTGCACATATTCTGCACGTGTCACTCACGATTCCATGGTATTCAAATTTCTATCCATTTTATCATTTTCTTTTCGGTTAAATTTAAATTTATGTAAATCATGGACTATAACAAGTATCTATTAATATTATGTATAATTATTTGTTTTCAGTTTTTTTTAACAATTAGTAAGTTAAGTATATATATAATTTATATTCTTGTAATAAATCATTCTTATTTATTTATTTATTTATCATTTAATTTAGTGAGAGACGTCTTCTTATCATCCCAACTTAAACAATCGATATGGGACCAAAGGTTTTATTCATTGAGATGTCAAAGTTGCAAAATGCAAAAATAAAATATATTATTTATTTAAGGGTGTAAATAAAACAAAATATAATTATAATTAATTTTAATTAAGAGGGCAATAATTAATCGTTATCCAAAATCTCTTGAGACAGTCGGCTGACGCTTCCACTCCTAACTCTTAGTTGAACTTCTCAGGTTATTCGCTTGTTTGTTTGTATACAATTTTCTCCTCTTTTTATTTTGAATTTGATTTTGTTTGTTACATCTGATCTTGCTTCCGTCTAACTTTTGTTGGTTTTTTTAATAATTTTTACTGTCTAATTTTTAATGGTTTTTTTAATAGTTTTACGGCTAACCATTTAACTTTTATTAGGTTTTTTTTTATTAGTTTTACGACTAGCCGTTTAACTTTTACTAGTTTTTTTAGTAGTTTTACGGCTAGTTGTACTAGTTTTCTTTAATAATTTTACTGCTTTTAGAAAAATAGATAAGAGTGGTCGACTTGATTTTGATAATACTAATTTTAAAAGATCATTAATTAACTTCGATAGGAAAAAGATATATATATTTTTTTGTTTGCCGCAACCGTTACTCCGTTCCGGCCTCGTTCCTTCGCCGGACTTTCCCTCTCCCCCGACCACCTACCGCCTTCTCTAAGTCAACAAAATTTTCTGCTTCTTTGTTTATGTTTTTGTGTTCCTATCACTCCTCTTCTTCATTATCCAAAGTCTGCAACGTAATTACCTTATTCAAAGCAGCGATCTTAGTCTCTCCGTCGCCATCAGATCTCTTTCCGGCCTACTCTGCACTTGTCTGGCGGTGTTCACTTATTTTGAAGCTCCCTATTCGCCCGACGAATCAGAATCCCTCACTCTTCTTGTGTGCAAATGATGACGTCAGGTGAGATTTGGTTTCCCCCAAGTTATTTCAAGTTTTTTTCATCCTACTAAGTTGTTGAGTGCTGCTTGTATCCATGTGATTCATATATGGAGCATATGTTTGTAAATTGAGTTGTTGAAAATTCGGTTATCATACTTGATTTAGTTAATATCCATGTTCAAACTCAAATGCTTTAACAATTTTAGTCACACACAATTAGAACCATCAATTTGTGAATGTAATTATGATGTGGTGATTTAAGTGATCAACAATCTGCTAGAATATATGGAGAATTTTCTAATATGACGCGGGGGTTGACTTGTGCTGAATTTCATATCAAATAGGTAGGTTGGAGGTTGTTCCTATGAACCGAATAACTAATTCAGTAAGCAGTTTTTTGTGTTCTGCAAGATGTTCGCATCCATGTTATTAGTGTTGAACCCAACAACCATGTTTGTGATATTTATTAGTCATCAATGGCCAAAAGATATTCTTCAATGATTCTGCGATGAAGATATTAGGCCAGGGCTCTTAACTAGGAGTACTATTTTTACAAGACATGTTTTCTATCATTGCATTGGAGGAGAGTGGTTAGCTCCAACCCTTGCATATTTGCAAGGGAGAGGCTAGTAAGATATCACTTGATTGTTACTCATTTGAGCTGTTACTCCCTGTCTCCTGGGTGTGTGTATAACAAGCAGTTGCATCACTTCCATAACTTTCAAGCTAGCTACATATTGCTAAGTTATTTCCTGGAAAGGATAAATGTTAATATAAAATTGTGACAAATTAAAGTTCCACAACTATCCTGTAAACAACATATACCTTTTTATCAATAACTCTTTGGGATCTATAAGGCCACATTTCCTAACTGTGAGGTTCTACGTCTTTCTTTTGATTTCAATTCTCAGGGTATAACATCATGGATCTCATTCGAGAAGCACACATCCGGTGGTTAAAGCCAGGGGAGGTGCTCTTCATACTTCAGCATTTTGAGGAAAGCCAGCTTACCCATGAGCCCCCTCAAAAGCCACCCAGTAATGTTCTTCATTTCTACTTTGGTGTTCATTTGTTGAAAAGATATATGTCTGCTACAGTTCGTTTGCTGATATCATTATTATCTTGTTGATTGAATGCTTCTACAGGCGGGTCTTTGTTTCTCTTTAACAAGAGGGTCCTTCGGTTTTTCCGTAAAGACGGTCATAGTTGGCGGAGAAAAAAGGATGGAAGAAATGTTGGGGAAGCGCATGAACGGCTAAAGGTTTTTCCATTCTCCCTTTTGATGCATGGTTATAGTTCTAACGCCTAGGAATCAAATGTGGATTTAGTTGAGATTAGGATCTTTTTGAAGCACTAATGTAAATAGTCTTCAGCTTTGTTGAAGTTTCTTCAACATGATAAGATCTGTTTTCACCCAAAAAATTATTTGTACACACACAACACGTATATATATAAAGAGAGAGAGAGAGGCGAGTTGGATTTACTGGTTTGGTTTGGTTTGGGTTGGTATATATGTCTAGAGAGAGAAGAGAGAACTTCTATAACGAATCTTGGTGCCCTCAGGTATTCATGCATCTGTCAATTCCAAGTTTCTAACTGTAGGTGTTCTAGTTCATTATCAGATGGATATGCTCAAGGGGATGGTTCTTTCAGTATAAATTACAAGATGTGATCTATCTGAATCTAACTTTTTACATTTTGTCTACCGGTTTTGTGCAAACAATTAGGCAATAAGTCATGTTCTGAGTTGCACGAGTTTCGTACATAAACTGAAACATAATACCCTCCACTTCATTGTTAGGATATCAGGCTTCTTATTGATGTAATGCCACATTCTTCCGAATCATGAAAGAGTTGATTGAAACAAAATGACCTCATGACTTGTACTTTTAACTCTATTTCCCTTATGTGTTTTCGGTCGTATTTTTCTTTCATTTCTGATTTAGTTCAATATATACCAATTTATAGTCTTTTTTGTATAGGTTGGAAATGTTGAAGCTCTAAATTGTTATTATGCACATGGTGAGGTGAATCCAAACTTCCAGAGGCGTAGTTATTGGATGTTGGATCCGTGAGTATCTTTCATCCCTTTGTGGATCTGCTTATCTCTATAACATACTTTTGCTTTAGTTTACAGCTGGCAACTTAGTTTTAAGAAGAATTTGGCACTGAAAATTGAAACATTGATCTATATTTCAAAAAAAATATACTGATAAGACTGACATTTCTTGATCTTATGGGACAGGTCAATGGATCACATTGTACTTGTTCATTACAGAGATATAACCATGGTATGTCTTGTGATTATGGAAAAAGCAGAAGTTCTGACAAATGATATTCCCTTCTTATGTATATCTATTCCCAAATTTCTCCACGAGAAATCTGTATGTAACTATATTCATTTGCACGTTGAGACACTTAGGTTAAACTGCTGTAGTGCTGTTTATCTTTATTTTCACTTATGGACTAGAAGTTGCTTTTTTTCATATAGGACTCAAAGTTGCTTTGCACACAACTGCTTTATGAAATTATGAATTCCCATCTGAATTCATATATGCAATTAGATGTTTTAGCTATCTACGTATGCATACATATATATTATAGACTATATCTATGTGCACATGCAGGCACACCAAAACACACATATACACATAACAGTAACGTAACTGATATTTGGACAGCCTACCTATAGCAGAACAACTAACTCTAAATTTTTCCTCTTTATGCATATAAATAAACGTAATATAATTGGTAAAGCTTTTATAAATACATATACGTGGAGGGAGGTTCAAGAGAGAACCCCAAAAAAGGAGAACAAGGGAACCCCTATCAGCTGTTAGATCTAAAAAACGATGGCCCAGATTCGAATGTAATTTCCCCCCTATAATCATGGATTTAGTTTTGGCAAAATGTAACCGCCTCTGTTGTGCAACGTTTGATTAAAATAGATGGATGGTTCGGATGTGCTCTCTTGTTCTCCTTTGTTCTCCCTTGAATCCACCCCTGTATGTATGTATGTATGTATGAAGATCCTGTTTTTAAACTGGTTTGTATCTGTCATATTTGTATCTGAAATGTCTTTCTCCTGCGGACTTTCTGCTATGTTATTACTAAAAAAGTGATGGTAGTTTGTGGGTGTTGTTTTAATTTTTGAGCTCCTATAAAATACCAGTTCCATTTAAATTTGCAGGGTGGGCATAGTGCTGGACCCATTTCAACAGTGTCCACAGGATCTTCTACTCTTATTCAGAGTTCCAACTCCTATGTTACTCAGTTTACTCAATCTGCTGCTGCTTTTAGTCAATTTCGTGAACCTTATGAAAGCACCTCTAGTCCCGGTTCTGTAGAAGTTAGTTCGGATGTAGTTATTAAATCCAATGGGACAAGTCCCTTGACTTTAGCAGAAGTAACTGAGGAAATTGGCGGTTCACCCAACTTTGAAATTGATCAGGCTTTGCAAAGGATAAGGGAGCAGTTGAGTTTGGATGAGGACAACTTGAAAGACATCGGTGCATTCTATAGTGAAAATGAGATTTCAAATGAATCAGGGATTACAGTTAATGAGCAAGATTATGGTGGATCTGGAGGGATGCATGATGGTTCAATCAATTACACATCTGAACAATATCCAGGTTTGTTTCCTTTCTTTGGCAAAATAATTGTCACAGCACGGATGTATCATGTAATCTCATTGTGAAAATCACAAAGCTAATTGACCAGAGCCTTGCTGTAGGAGGTGCACTCATTTACAGTGGTTTTAAGATATCCTCTTGTAACCTCACATCTATGTGACATGTGTATTTTCACTACTATGCTGCTAGTTTTGTCATTTATCAATGCATCCTCTTCATCTGCATTGTATTCAAATCAATGTAGATAAAGCCGAACACAAATTAATCGTGGCAAGAATTTGTGTAGGTGAGTATGGAACAGCACATCAGTACCAGCAACAATCAGAGGGTGAATTTTCTATTACAAGTCAACAAACTTCAATTTGGGACGATGTACTAATATATAATGGGAATGCAGTAGGTGATGGTTCACAAAAGAATTTTGTGTACCCTTCAGACAGAAATGTAAGCTTATATCGATCTTCTTCTTTGAGTATTTACCTTGATTCCACTTCAGTTGTTTACTGTTCTTTTCACCAGTACATTATATGTGTTCTATACGGTTCTACATCTTCAGAACATGGCTCATCGTTGACTGCAGCCGAATCTGAGTTACAGACATGCATGTATATAGAAGCATGCTTAGAACCCAAACTTTTCGCTATTGTGTAATGGATTAAATAATACTTATGATACCATCATTTGTCACCTTTATCTTATTTGTTCAAGTTCCATTATTTTAGTGCATTTTTAATTTGTGTCATGCACACAGGGAGTACTGCTACCTCAACCAAGAAGAGATCCAGTGGAAGAGCAAGAGAAGTACAATTATGGATATACAAGTGCAAATAATGACTGTAAGTCAAGCATTTTATCCAACCTGTTGATTTCAATATTCTAAATAGAATCTTCACAGTCACGGAACTTTGAAACCTGTGACAACTCAATTCCATATCCAGCATCCATATTGTTGCCTCATGAACTTGAAGATTTCAAATTTCCTGCATATACCCCTGCAAGAAATTTGTCCGACAGTTACCCGGACTTCTACTCCACGATGTTTGGGCAAGGACAGGGTGGAATGCCTCTCGAATCAGCTTCAAGTCTAACCATTGCGCAAGAGCAGAAATTTACTATTCGTGAGATAGCCCCTCAATGGGGCTATGCATCTGAGCCAACAAAGGTATATTCATTGAAGTTATATAAGGATTTTTTTCCTGAGTTACCTGTGTCTGTTCCTTTATGATAGTTGCAAATATTACCTGGCAAACTTAGCCTATTTGAAACAAAATCAGCCCTTTTGAGCCATGATTTTGAAATCTGGGTTGCAGTGAGCAAAACATAAGTTAATGGGTAAAACAGCGCATAATTTGGTTTCTCAAACTAAAACCCAACCTATATACCCTCCTATAAGTACACCTTCATCTGTCAACATGCTATAACCTTGCCCCCACCCCCTACCCTGACAAAACTTGAATCACCCACCCATTCCCAACCTCTAATCCTACCTCTTCTATCCCCCTTTAATCACAATTTCCCCCCCATTCCATGCACACCTGACACTCCCTTTTCAACTTGGTTGATGAAAAAAATTATTATCTCATATGTTTTCATCCCATAAAAATTATAACATCTACCTTTTGACATATATGGTCAGGACTCCTTTAGAAAAGTTGAAGTACTTGCATTTAGAGAGGAAATCCATATTTAAAATAAAGAGTCAAATATGTAACTTGCTTTAACTTTGAGGCGTTAGTAAAATTGTTGTTGTAGATTATAAAATAAGATCATGTTAAAATAAAACACATATTTAGGATAATAAATTATTATGAAAATAAAAAGGTAAAATATCATGTCCATGTCAAATTTGAGAATTACAATTTCTTTTGAATATCTTAAATAAATAATTAACTCGTAATAGCTTTTTGCACTTCCCCCCTGCAAAAACAAACTTTATCTTTTGACTTTCCAAACAATTTTTATCATTTTATGAAAAGAACTTAAATGTTCACAATATCTTGATTTTCATATATAATTTCTTTTATGATGCTATAAATTTCAGTTGTTACATACGTCAAATAATTCAATACTTTGATATATTTGTTAGTTTAATAAGACTTAACATTATTGTTTTTATGTTATATGCATGTTCATGTCAATATCTTTCGAGGCAATAAAATAGAAAGCGAAATGGTAAAAAGGAAGGATAAAAAGGGGTGCTAAAGTTGAACGGGTCAACACAACCCATTTGACCCGTTTATCCAATCCAACCCAGTTCATACATTTTCTCATCAACTTCACTGCTTGTCACATCTGAATAATAGTTTCTAATTGCATTATCAATCTTACTTGACCAATTACTCACCTGTGTAATAATAAAGTTAACAAATTATAAGACAATCTCAAGCTTGATTAAGTTTGAAAGCAAGAGTCAATCTAATCTCCTTGCTGAAATTGCATTCGTCTTTTGTTACAGCATGCTGGTTCAAATATCGCTTGTTTGAATGTCAATATACACAAATTCCAACTATTAAAAATGTTGATGCAGGATTTGGAACTCATCAGCCCTTCCCTTCACACACATCCTGATTTGTTTGTAAATCTTTCTCATATAAATAGGGCTGTGAGGGTAGAAAAAGACAAAAAATGCTATAGGCAAGTCAAAAAGTCAACACGGTGCTTATATATGTGCATGTTTCTTGATGCAGGTACTGGTTATTGGGACTTTCACATGTGATCTAGCCAAAAGAGAATGGTACTGTATGTTTGGTGACACAGAAGTTCCTGTTGAGATTATTCAAGAAGGAGTCCTCTGTTGTTATGCTCCTCCTTGCTTGCCTGGAAAAGTTAGTCTTTGTATTACCTCTGGCAATCGAGAATCTTGTAGTGAGATCAGGGAGTTTGAATACTGTGACAAACCAAGCAGTTATATACATACTAATCAAACAGATAAAAAATTCAGTAGGAGTTCTGAAGAATCATTGTTACTTGTCAGATTTGTTCAGATGCTACTATCTGATCAAGTTAGGCATAAAGAAGGAAAGACCAGAATTGATCTTCTGGTCAGTTCAATGGCTAGCGAAGACTCATGGTCTCAAGTCATTGAGGCTCTTTTAGATGGAAGTTTGGCATCATCTAACACAACAGATTGGCTCCTGGAAGAACTTCTAAAAGACAAGTTGCAACAATGGCTTTCTTCTAGATTGCAGGATGAGAGTGCTGTTCCAGCTTTGTCCAAAAGAGAACAAGGGATAATACACATGGTTTCTGGGTTGGGATTTGGATGGGCCTTGACCCCAATTCTTAACTCGGGAGTTGGCGTAAACTTTCGTGACATTAATGGCTGGACTGCGCTTCACTGGGCTGCTAGATTTGGAAGGTAAGTCATCTTATTTGTATATTTGGTCTACCCTTTTTTATGATTAAATTGATCACAGACAGAATAGTGTAAAGATCTGGCATTGCAGGTAATCCACTTGAAAAAATATGCATTAGACTTCCAAGAAGCAAGAGCTCCACATGGCGGTGACTGTCACAATCTACTTATATGAATTACATTTCCATTGCAGGATAATAATATCAAAACTAGAACTATATTTCACTGCAAATTAAATAAAACATGGCCAATATGTATTTTTTTTTTATCTACATACCCATTCAAGTAGTTTCAGGTTTGTAGGAGTCTAAAGGTGACCATTATACAACTATTTTACTGATAAATATTTCTCTGCTTTAAGTTATGTTTTTTGCAATGTCTTCCTATTGTCACTTCCATCTGGACTTTCACGTTGAAGGCAGTAACTTCAACAAAGTTTTGCCAGTAAACATTGTTGACATTATGTAGTCCAACATATAATGTTCTTCCTTTTCATCGTCCATAAGAGTTTCTGAAGGCATTAATCAGCTCCTAACATGACTAGTCAACATAGAACTATGTGTATGTTCTTCTAGAATCTTCTAGACCGCAAATTATGAGTCTCAATATGTTGCTGTAGTGCTTGATGTGTATGTGTGTGTGTGTATTTCATGTTTCCCAGGTGCAAAACCATGAATTGATTGCTGTTCATGTACTGTAATAGGGAAAAAATGGTAGCTGAACTCCTGGCTTCTGGTGCTTCTGCTGGAGCAGTTACCGATCCAAGTCAACTAGACCCAACTGGGAAAACCCCAGCTTCTATAGCTGCCACATGTGGACACAAGGGGCTCGCAGGTTATCTCTCAGAGGTGTCACTAACCAGCCATCCAACCCTCAAGCTGCAACAAAGTGAACTTTCTAGAAATTCAGCTGACCTCGAAGCAGAAAGAACCGTAGATAGTATCTCAAAACTAAATCTTGTTTCAGACGAGGATCCTTCTCTTAGGGACACCTTAGCTGCTGTTAGGAATACAGCACAGGCTGCTGCACGCATACAATCTGCTTTCAGGGCACATTCTTTCAGGAAGAGGCAACAAAAAGAATCCACCAGATATGCTACTGGAGACGAATATGGCATTCTTCCAAGTGACATCGAGGGACTTTCAGCAGCATCAAAGTTGACTTTTCGGAATGGAAACGATCATAATGCTGCTTTATCTATCCAGAAGAAATATCGAGGCTGGAAAGGCCGCAAAGACTTTCTTGCACTTCGCCAGAAAGTAGTGAAAATTCAGGTGACTTGCTTCTCTCTCTCCCCCCCATCTGTATTCACATATATTAGGAATGATAATCACACACATCCACAGTAAAAATCATAGAAAACAAGAAAATCTAGTTCTCATTGTTTTTGTTTTTGGCAGGCTCATGTAAGAGGTCATCAGGTACGGAAAAACTATAAGGTTTTCTGTTGGGCTGTTGGTGTAGTTGAGAAAGTTGTGCTGAGGTGGCGTAGGAAGGGAGTGGGCTTGCGGGGATTCAAGCAAGAACTGGGAACCCTTGATGACGGTGAAGATGAAGACATTGTGAAGGTATTTCGGAAACAGAACGTGGATGTTTCTATTGATGAAGCCGTCTCGAGGGTGCTCTCCATGGTGGACTCTCAACAAGCACGTCAGCAGTATCGCCGCATGCTTCAAAAATATCGGCAAGCCAAGGTGGGCCCTCTTCATACAGCACCAATATTTGTATCTTATTTCAGTCAGTTGTTTAAAGATTCAATGATGCGTCTTGTAGGGACATTTTTAGCATCTTGTGTCTTCACAATCTGACGGCATTCATTGACAATTTTGGGTAATTATGCAGGCTGAACACGAACGTTTAGAGAGCGAAGCAGCCTCAACTTCCGAAAATGAGGAGTTAAATAAGTTCATTATGTAGAAGAAAGAAAGAAATGTTGGATGAGTGTTATTAACATGAATGATTCATGAGTTTGTTGTGTATAAAGAGATGGGGGGTTTAGTATGGTTTCGGAATTGGGTATGTATGTTGTATTAAGTGTAAGTAACATAAATGGTTTTCTTATTGTATCTGAATAGGAGGGAACACTAGCGTCTGTTTTTTAGCAGCTTAATGAACTTAATATGATTCACAGTTTATTCAAGCAACAATACATAATTGTTTGATGATGACTTAATGATATAAAAAATAGTTTTTTCAACAAGTTTTTAGGGAGATGTGTTATACAGAAAGCCAAACTTTTTCGATACTTGTCCCTCAATTAAAAAAACATGTTTATTCTCATCTATAGAAACACTCTCCCAATCTATACAGATTAATCCACACAGTCTGCTTTATTCATATAGGATATAATAAAAAAACCCAACCAAACAGTCCCTAGTCTGAATTATTGTTCATTCCGTAAAATGGAAAACGAGGATTGAATTTATTGACCACAAGCAAGACTTTTAATATCTAAGCTGCAACCTCTTTTGTGAAATATATCTAAAGATCGTGTATCGTGACGTAACAGGGTTGATACAGATAAAATTTGGAAGTCTAACAACCACATCATGGAAATTACAATTTTGGCTGGTTTGTCTTTTACATAATGTTATTTGTGTAGACCGAGTTGCAGGTTACAAATAAAACAATGAAAAGAGATGCATTTTTAATTTATTAGCAGTGGATGTGTTGCAGTAACTGAAGAGCGAAAAACGAAGTCTGCAAATCTTATGTATATACACAAATTTACCAAACAATACACTTTTGGTGTCTAAAACCAGCTTCAACCTGAAAGAAAAGTGTATACTACTACATACATACATACATACATAAATACATTCGTTCGTTCATTCATTACGTGTAACCGTATTTATTTTTCAAGTCAAGGATATATACCGTCACCACACATTCATTCACTCATTCCTCCTCCTCCTCCATCGACTACTTTAAAGGCGAGGATCCTCTCTTTGAATTATGTATCAGCCGAAGAAAGGACCACCAACAAACTTCCCATCTTCTGATGACAACTAGAAAATAGAGATCAAAACTACATGGAGCCAAATGAATTGGTTTTCTGTATCTAACTCGCTCTACAAAACGAACAAATCTCCACCGATAAAATCACTATGTACACCAGTATATCCTTCCCACAACTACTTTCCTGAAATTATAAAACAAGAATCTTAAATACACACTAAATAATGATGGACAAGTCTACACTCATGCTGCTAGGATGGCATAGCCTTAAAAACCGCCGAATCGGAAAAATTGGGTGCTATCATATAGGTGCTTATACAACAAGTCTAGTAAATCCCTTTTCTGTAACCCTTCATCTTGAAAAAACAAGCTATTTTGGGCAAAAACATGTGAAATCCAATGGGTTTTTTTGTTGCATTTACATTGCTGTAATAGTTTGTCCAAAATCACTTGCTCTTGCAGACTAGTGTATTTTTGCATTTTCGAAAGAAAAGTGGTTAGTTTCTAACAAGAAGCCAAACACAGACAGTTTGAAAGACCATGAGGATCCTAGGAACAACGAAAGTTGATCAAACTACAGCTACTATACTACTGTGTGTATGTGATTATTGATGCATCGTAGATCAAAGTTTTGCAGAATGATGAAAAGGGTAGAGGGTAAGGAACTTACCCTTGCGCAGAACTTGAACCCCGTTCCCAAAATGCCTCAAAAAACAGGCAGGCAGGCACACTCGTAGTTAGTTTCGTAGGGTGGAGGAGGTTCATAGGAAAAATCTTGAAACTTCTTGATAAAGTTGATTTGCTTCAAATGGTTTAGAGACATAGCCATCCATTCCAGATTTTAGGCATTGTTCATGTGTAGCTTGAATAACATCAGCAGTCATGGCCAAGATTGGAACATGCCAGTTTGAAATATTCGCATAGTCTTGCAATAATAGTTTCCCGTGTTGGATAAGATTATTCACATTGTATTCCATCTCACGAATCGTTTTTGTTGCTTCAAACCTGCAACCAAACTCAAAATGTAACTAATAAACGTTAAAACTATTTCCGACCATTTTGTCAAATATACAAAATACCCTTTGATAATAATACGAAATAAAGGAATCTTAAACGGCTTTGAAGTACTATTACGTAAATTTTGAATTTAAATGAACAATTTTCTTTCAGAAGTGTTGTAACATAAATGCTACATCTACTCTTTTTGCATTAGATAACGTTTCTTTTCATCAATACATTCCTTTGCTTACTACTTATTATTGGAAGGACATTTTAAATAACACTAAATATTCTAAGTATCAAAAATCCTTGAGAAATGACCCGGTCTAGCCCATTCCTCGAATGTGGTCAATTTATGGGCCAATAAAGAAAGGCAATGTCGCATATCCATGAATGGTTTGACTTGTGAAGTCATAAAAATAAATATGAACTTAAAAGTCAAAATCTTGAATATAATCAATAGTTTCAACATATGAAAACATGCTTACCCATCCATTTCGGGCATCTGGATATCCATGAAACACGCATCAAAAGAGTGAGGCGGCTTTAGCAGGGAAATAGCTTTCCTCCCGCTATCCGCACACACCACTTCCGCTCCATATTTCTTCAACGCACCCGCAGCCACTCGTAGGTTCACATTATTGTCGTCCACCACCAGTATTTTCCTTCCCACCAACAGCTTTGACAAAGATAGTTTCGGGACCTCTCCATTTCGGGCGGTACTTTTATTACCACCCATCGCTCGTTGTAAAGATGCAGCCAACATGCTGACCCTTAACGGTTTAGTTATGACGGGTGGGCAAGAAATGCCACGAGACCCACCAATCGAATTCGCTAAAAGAAACAGCTTCCAAGGAATCTTGTGATCTACTGTTCTTAACTTATAAACAAACACCGCCGACGAGCTTAAATCTTTATCCCAAACTTCCTCTTCAATCAGGATCATGTGGACCACTTTACTTCCATTGCTCAACATAGAGAATGTGTTGGTCAAATTTGGCACAATGTCCACGTGCATTCCTAGCCGTTGGATGTGATATCTTGATACCGCAGCTCGTACGGGCCTGGGATCCACGATGATCGCTTGCATGCCACGAAACTCCGACTTTGACCAAGTGTTGACTTGCTGCTCACTTGGATTCGAACAGCCATTGCTGAAAACAGCAGTGAACGTAAAAGTGGACCCAACTTTTGGGATGCTAGTGAACCCAATCTCGCCATTCATTAGGTTCACCAAACACTTGCTGATGCTTAGACCAATACCAGTTCCTCCATGTATACGGGAAATGGAGGGACCCACTTGCATAAACGGAGTAAAGATACGAGATTGTGCTTCTAGCGGGATTCCAACACCCGTATCCTCGACGGATACAATCAAAGTAATATTATCACATGGACCCACCATTTGACTCGAGGTTCTGAACCCATCCCAGCTGCGGTTTCTATCAGCCACAGGCAGTCCACTTAATGTGTCTTTCAATGATGGTTCAGTCTCTACACCTATCGACTCCATTACTTCCTCAACAAGATGCACTGTTACAAAGATGTGCCCTTGCTCCGTGAACTAGCCATTAAATCAAAACGTAAGTCCACTGTTATTATTAGCATTATTATCAGAAAACAAACAGAAAATGTGTCCTACTCCTACCTTAATAGAGTTACCCATGAGGTTTGTGATGATTTGACGAAATCGCCCTGGATCACCAATCAGCGTTTCTGGGACTTTCTCAGATATGTAAACTGCCAACTGTGATTATGCACGGGAAAGGAAAATGAGTTCAAGTTCTTCAATCAGTTAAAACTCATGTCTAATAATGAGATAAGATGCTAACCTCAAGTCCCTTTTCTTGCGACTTCCCTGAAAATAGTGACAATACGTCATCTAGTATAGCCCGAAGATCGAAGTGGACGGCTTCGAGCTCGAGCTTACCAGATTCAATTTTGGCTTGATCAAGAACCGCATTTATAAGTGAAACTAGAGCTTTTCCACTAGCTTGAGCTGTTCTAACATAATCTTGTTGTGTTACATCAAGAACAGTGTCCATAAGCATATCCAGCATCCCTTATTTCCAAACAAGAGAACCGTTAATTAAAATTCTAAATGGAAGTCAAAAAAACCAAAATATTTGTGAAATAACTTACCAAGAACACCATTCATTGGGGTTCTGATTTCATGGGAAACATTAGCGAGGAACTACAGAAAATTCAAACGTAACAACGATTTAGGACAGTTAGTAATCATAAAAACCGACTTGTAAACATTCATAAAGTTGGGCAAACAAAAATACCTGAGATTTGGCCACATCAGCAGCCTCTGCGCGTCTTTTGAGCTCTGACATTTCAAGATAGTCATCTTCAACTTTGGCTATTCTATTTACAGTTGCATGAAAGATATGCCCAACAAGCAAGGTAATCACAAAGATACCAAAAGAAGTTGATAGCGCTAAGATTTGCCACGGTTGTTTTTGTTTGAATCTGTACCACCAAAAAAGACATTAATACTCTACAAGTCCCAATCTATCTCTATATACACTTATGTATGTATGTATGTATGTATGTATGTATGTATGTGTGCGAAAACATATAGCCCTACATAGTTTCAAAATTAGCAGACACACATATCTTACACTTCAAATAATTTTTAGCTAAAAGGCTGAAAAATTAAACATACAAATGAAAGGCCTTCTAAATAAAGAAAATGCATAGACAATCTTCCAACTCGAGTGTTGTACCCCTTTAAAGTAAAACATAACTCGGTGATTTTGAGCATAAGGGTAATTTTGGGAAAAAACATATTTAGCGGAGCATCAGATCATGAAAAAGATCCTGTCTTTATGTGTCATCATAGTATTTGCATGCTGGATTTAGCAAGCACTCATGAGAATGTCAAAAAAAACTTCAATTTTGAATACATATACTTAAATGCATACATACATATATATAGGGTCAGGTTCGGGGAAAACTGCAAAAAATGAAAAACTGAGGAACACTCTGGTAATGTTTATTTGGACGGTATGCACATGTGCATACAGGTAATTTGTAAGCAATTTGTCCGGTATGCACATGTGCATAAAAACCAAGAAACCGCTTCAATTACGTGTATGCACGTGCATACCATCTAGATGAACGGTTACTAGGGTGTTCCTCGGTTCCTTTTTCTACTTTTTCCAAGTGCAGGATAACCCCAAGGGGTTGGGGAAGAGGACCGAAACATGCCACTAAAAATTCGGAAAGTGGGTTTTTATGATCCGATCACGAATCATCTCCAACTGTCCAAAGATGGAAATCTTTGGAATTCATTTTTTTATGGTTTTCCCCTGAACCTAACCCTATATATATATGTGTGTGTGTGTGTATATATATATATATATAGAGAGAGAGAGAGAGGTAATTAATCACCTGCACTGCATCTCGTGCTTTCTTGAGGGATCGCCAAAATTGAGAGGACTAACATGGTGCAAACCGGTGTCTGAGACATTAGTACCATACATACTGATCGGATTTGATATATTAGTCGTGTCAAAGACATTCACATAGATGGTTTGTTTGCTTGCAAGCTGCTGAAGTAACTTTTCCACCAATGATTCGATATCAAATACTCCACCAAGGTAACTGCTCAATTGTCCCAATAACATCACGTCACTCCTACTTACTAAATTTAGCAACAAATAATTATATAAACCAATGAAGTTGAAGCAAATTAGTTACCCATCAGTTGCCTGGATCCTTTCCTCTAGAGTGGCGTTTGAGGGAAGATCTCGCTTATAAACAGCAAATGTCAATATGACTCCAAGCCGGTTTGACTTTATAAGATCCAAAGGGGCGGTCAGAACCCCTTTTCCTAATGCCCTAGCTCGCAACACATTTTCACGATCTTCCTATTGAAAACAAACAAACAAAACAGAGATTAAACATTCCATTCTTTCTTTTTGAAATAGTAAATAGGATCATGGAGTAAAGATATCAATACCTTTCCTGACATCATATCAAGCGAAATTACATGAGCAACGGTATCTTGTGCAAAGATAACAGGGGCATATTCTTGTTGAATTGGGGATGGCTCCAATTCTTCAGGATTATACTCATCTTTATTAACTGGGGTCATCTTCTTTATGGTCCATCCTTGTTGCTTCTCAAACTGTTCTCTTTCTGAATGAAGTACCCTTACAGCATAAGCCACCCCACTTGTAAGTGGCCTCTCAAAAGCAGTTCTTTCTGTATACTTAGCAAAGGTCTCCTGTTAATTAATTCCACAAAAAAAGACTGTTAACCATCTGGAGTTTGATTCAGACATTAAAAATTGTTCAATTACAAACTCTAATTCAACACAAATAACCCAATTGAAAGATCACATAAGACAGCAAAAGCCATGATCTTGAATTAAGGAACAATTAAGCACTTGAAATGGAAAGTAGCCATTTTTATACCTAAATCTAAATGAAGGAAGGAAGAGAAGAGTACCTGATCAATTGCTGAAGGTTTTTTGCCATGGTGGAAAGTTGAGATCAAAATAGACATAGCTTGAACATGATTCATGCTGACATTGAACTGATCTTGAAGCATCCTAGCTCTTTCATCACACATGTTTGCTAGTGTTTCTTTCCTCTTCTCCATGGCTTGAGATCTCAAATACCAAAAGAACCACAAAGAAACAATTGTACCAAATGCAACCCATAAGATCAAAAGCTTCCTCCACCATGTCTTTCTAACTTTTCTTGAACCAATATATTGATAGTAGTGATGATGGATCTTGGAGCTGTTCCCTGCCAAGATCTCGAGAAATTTCATCCAAATCTTCCGAGTACTAGTACTGATTCCAATAAACCCACTCTTAGGCTTCATCTCTACACCATTAGTGAAGCAATTCGTCGAGATCACTGATAGAAACGAGCAACATAGCATCAAAAGAAGCTGACCCACTTTTAAGCCAAATCCAATCAGATGGATAAAACTCATCCACAGAAGTAAACTAAGAGAAAAAAGGTTAAGTTCCCAAAACAGTAGATGTAAAATAGGAAGAGGGTTCGACTTATAACAGCTGGTTTCTCAAGAATATATACACAAAAATTAAACTAAAAAGAAAAGAAAAAGAAAAAGGGAAAACCTACTGTCAAATCTTTATAAACTGTCTAATCAAGGATCCAACATGAAAAAAAGGAAGGTTCAAACTTGGGAAGAAGAAGATTTTAGCACTAATCTCTAAACTCAAATAACAAAAGACTGATTGTGAAACAAGATGAGTGAGGGAGGATTCTATCTTATCCGAACCACAAGTTCGCGAAAAGGGGGGGTCAGACAGTAAGAAAAAGGGATGAGAAATCCCAAACACACCAACAAGATAATCAAGAAGCAGACCTAAATTGGAATATAGGATTATGTTATCCTGTTGAACCAACCGGTATAAACCCAGATGGGAGGATCGACCCAAAAGAAAAGATTCTTGGAAGAAAAAAACCCAGATGTGAAATAGGGTTTAGCCCTAATTAATGAGTAATTATTTGAAGGGTTTGACTTAAGATCTCAAGCGAATCATGGATCAATGCGGAAGGAAAATGATAAAAGGGAGGGAGAGAGAGAGAGTTGCAAAGCATCTGTAAAAGCAAAGATGAGTAGAATATGGTTGTAAAAATGTCCCAATACCATTATCTATATCCGCAATCCATCCATCCAATTCCACCCTCCTCTAAACAATTCCAAGTTATTAACTTTTTTTGAGTTCAAACTTATGACTCTATTCGGTAACATCATTACAACTACAAAGCCTTCAAAACAACAATTAAAATTTTTAAATGCAATTCTTTTACAAATGCAATTCTTTTACAAATGCATACACCCTATTATCTTATAAATATAAGGTTATTTAATTATAGTCCAATGAGGGAATTTTTTGAAGGGTTAGTTGAGTCCAAAAATTTCGAACACTATTTTTCAAGGTCCATAAAATTAGTTAAATTGTATATAACTTGATGATTTAGAAACTTACGATTAACAACGAAAATAATACAATAAAAGATTACAAGAAATAAGTTATACGAACCACAAAATATGTATCTTGCTTTTAGTTTAAATATAAGACTAAACTTTGCATTTTGTGTGTAGTGTTTCATCAATTCTTTGTTTCATTAAATCGATGGATTGGATGTAGAAGAGCACATGTTGAATTTGATAATATATATATAGAGAGAGAGAGAGAGGTGGAGATCCAAACGAAAACCTCTGTTATTTACGAGAATGAGAGAACAATCTACTAATTGTCCATTAAGGTTATTTTCATTGTGTTTATAATATATTCACCTTGTGTGCACATTTAATTGTCCATGTATATTGCATAAGATAGAAGATGATATATATATATATATATATATATGAAATTTGAATTTTTTTTAACATCAATATTTATCTAATAAATAACATAAATTATATAATTGATTATCTTTAAATTAATGCTTTATGATAGATCTTATGGATTATAGAGTTTCAAATAATTAAGTCTTTATATACATCTATGTTGATGATATTTTAGTAAAAAAAAAAAAAAATTGATGATGAGGAGGATGATGGATTGGAAAGTCTAACGCAAAAACATGTCGTAGGGTTTAAAAAAAAGGAAGGTTGGTAATATAAGAGGGGAGGGTATAAAAGAGAAAAGATGGATGATGAGTAGTTGAAGATGGGGAGGTTACCTCTCAAGAAAGTGTTGCTATTATTCATTAACAAAAAGCCTTTCGCTTCCCACTTTCTTGCCTTCATTCCCCAATTTTAAATTCCACACCCACAAACAAAATTACTACTTCAAACCCAACATCAATTTTATTTTTACTTTTGAATACATATTTATCGATTTTAATTTATTTTACCCAATAAGATTGTAATTCATCAAAACTTTACCCTCTTTTTATTATCTCTCTCACTCATTCTTTCAATTATCTATCTCTCATAATATATAATATAGAAAAACCAGACAATGGAATGGATGCAATATATATTTGTGAAAATAACAAAAAAAAAAAAAATGTTTTATATGAAAAGCTTTTATATACATGGATATGTATTGATGTATTAGAAATAAGTGTTTGATGAGGATGGAGGAGATGAAGGGACAACAAATTCATTCATATTATCTTATTATTTAAACTAAGAAAAAATGCAATGAAATTTAATAATTGGATCATGACTCTTTTTAATTAGACACAAACCTTCACATATTTCCTTTTTATCTTTTGAATCTTTGTAACTTTGTATAATTTACAACACCTATCACTGTCATTGCCATTGCCATTGCCACTGTCATCATCATAATTTTCTTCTACTATTAATTTAATTGTTGTTTTAGAATTCTCAAATAACAGATGTATGGCAAGTCCAGTGATTGTTATTCTTAATTTAAGTTAAAAGTATATATCATTTATGATAATAATAAGAAGAAGAAGAAGAATGAGCAAAATTGTTTGAGTGGAGAAATAATATAACTATAATTATAATTTATGATTAAAATTAATTAGCGCATGCATTACGAGGATGGAGATGGAGTTCGTCTCACATATATATATATATATATATATATATAGAGAGAGAGAGAGAGAGAGAGAGAGAGAGAGAATTGAAATCATATAATACCAAACTCTTTTTTAACAACCACTTAAAATAACATTCAACATTTATAATAAAACACTATTTTAAATGTCCGGAGTTTTTTTTACCTTCACAGTTTTTTGATGTAAAGTTTCAATGTTATTTTATGTACAAACCTCTATTCACCAACTAGAAACAAGTTATACATTTGGTTACTTCACATGGTTTTGGTATTTAATGTGGGTATATTTGGTCTTGCTTTTAATGCATAGTAACTGATAGTTATATTTTTCAATTATTTCATGATTCTATACACTTTTCAATTATTCCATGATTTTATCCGTTATGATCATTAGACGATGGCTGAAAATCCACCTGATCAAATTATTCTTGATTGCAGCAAACTATTCATGCATAAACATGTTTCATGAATGACTAGATGTGTCCATATGCATAGGATGAACATACGATTCATCTATTGACATATCTATTCATATAAAAAACTTGTGTTCGTAGGTATGTACACAAAGGACTCATTTAAACTTGCTCACAATGTTTCTAGTGTATAAATTAAACAGTCAATTGATTTACATGTTTTGCTAATGTAATAATCAATAAATGGACACCGAGAACAAACTTGATTCCTTAAACAATTCTTTTGTATCGTTACCAAAAATACAGTTGTTTACTTGTATTCACTCTTGTTTTCATAAAAAAAATCCATCAATCAATTTAATCCGTAGATCTTAAAGATTAATGGTCAAGATCAATTCACATAATTAACACTAATTGTTTGGTTAAAAAACCCAACCCCATGTATGTGTGTGTATATATATATACACACATGTATATGTATATAGGAAAATGTTTATTTGAAAAGTGGTAAATGTTTGAATTAAAGAAATTATCTTAACCCTTCATCTGATCAACATTTTACGGCTTTGACAAACTCTTAAAAATCATTTTTTGTGCATGAGGTACTGTTTGTTGATACATATTATTTAAAATTCAAGATTACAAGTAATACAACTTACTAAAACTTTATGTAATTAATTGGAGACAAACATAATCAAATACAGAATAAACATCTAATTTTTAAATATAAAAATCTAAAATATAATTATGAAAATCATTGAGTTTTAACAGAATACTTAAATATTATCTTTATAAAAAATTATACTAAATTAAATTATAATTATAATTTGAATTAACGAAATTGCACAAAAAAACGAGAACGTTTAAATAGTTAATTTAATATTAATATCATGAACAAATATTGATTTTTTGAGGARTCATAATTTTTGAAATAGACACATCATCTGGCCGAGGCATGGGAAAATCGATTTCTATTAATATCAATATATTTTTTCAAAATTATATTTTATTCAAAAATAAAAAAATTATCGTTTTCTCAAAACCACATAAAACCGTATTATATCGTCAAAGACAAAAAATAAAATGAAACATTCAAATCGAAATGTATCTTGCTGCATTGCACGAATACCCTTCTTGTTATGTTATAAAATATTTGAATAAAACTCTTAAAAAGTATTTTTAATGCATTAAGTACCATTGAATGATACATATTACCTACAATTTAAGATTACAAGTATAATGCATGAGTATAACTTTTTAAAGTTATATGTTTGAATTCATATAACTAATTCATAAACATAATTAAATACATAACAAACATTTCATTTTAAATCGAAAAAATCTAAAAATATAATTAGAATAATCATTAACTTTTAACGAAATACTTAATTATTATTTATGCTATATTATAAAGTATTTGACAAATACTCTTAAAAATCAATTTTTATGCATGGAGTATTATTTATTGATACATATTACTTAAAATTCAATATTACAAGTAATTTTACAAAAATACAACTTATTAAAACTCAATTTTTAAATTTGTGTAATTAATTGCAGATAAATATAACTAAATATAGAATAAACATTTATTTTAAATATATAAAATCTAAAATATA